AGAGAAGTAAAACAATTTCTGAGGGTTTCTTCTACCATTTGCCTTCCCTCGTCAAAATACCTTCAGCCAGAAAATAGCACTGTCATTTTGCATCTTTGATGAGCTCAGCAAAGGAAGTTTCTGTGGCTGTTTTTTCCTATTGGAGGAATTTTTTTCCCACCCATTTTGGAGACAAAGGAAGAACCTCCACTGCTGGCTGTGGGCTGCTTGGAGCTATCAGGCTTTAGCCTAAGTCAGAGAGAGGTGAGGATGGGCTTTCAGCGTGACGTTTCAGCCCTTCCCTGGCGTGCTGGGTGATGGTTGTCATGGTGGCTGACCCACTTGGAGCTTTTGACAGGCATTTCCCAGAAGTGACGCCCAATTTCCTCAGAGAGGGACAGGAAATGGTTCCTCAGCACTGATAAGGGAAGCTGCATCAGCGCCAAAGGAAATAACCCTACATTCCAAACAGTACCTGTTGACTTTTTTTATGCATGGGGGACCAGAGAAGGGGAAATGCAATCGCATCACTAGAAGCTGACTGCCAAGGACTCTCAGATGACTTCATCCGCTGGGAATGCTTGAATGTCAGGGGCGCTGCTCCAGCGGCTGGACCTCAGCTCCCTTCAGGGCCTCCCCGCCTGCCTTTGTGCTGCAATGGAAGGCAGCTGTGTTGGAGCCCGGCTCTCCCCACCGGGGCTGCCCCTGGCTCCAGGCCTAATTAGGGAACCGGTGCGACCAGTCGTCCATTGTTCCCAGCCCAGGGACGGGACGCAGAGCTTATTGGCAGGCTGTAGCAGGAAGAGGGAGATTGCCTGACTTTGGAAAGATTTTTAGGCAATATCTAAGAATGAATTTGTTGTGAGTTTGGAAAACTTTAATCAAAAGAGCTCTAAACTCTTGTTTTTAGGTACAGGAATTGTTACTGAAAAGGATTTTTAGGAGCCTGGTTCACATGTGCTTATTTTACCCAATTTCTACTGACAAAAGCAACAAGCTTTTTCATGTTTTTCAAAAGTGTAATTTTGCTTCAAGTTTTTACTGGAAGAGAGTCAAAGTGGAAACAGTGAAGGCACGGACTGGGCCCCAGAGAGAAAAGACCATGTCATCTTCATGCACAGCAACGTCCGAGGCACATGATGAGCTGCTGGGAGTGGTTGTTGAGTGCATGAAAAGGTCAGGCCGCACTGCATGCTCTCCTTGGCTGAAGTGGCTCAGCCTCTGCACTGCAGACCAACAGGGATAGATTTACATAGCGGCCAGAAAGAGGATGGGAGGCCCATTCAGAACCTTTGTTTGGGATTTCAGTTTTCTTATTCCTGCACTACATGAGAGAGTACCGGGAGCCGTTGCAGGAGAAGCGGCGAAGGCATGGGGCTTAGCTTTCTCCAGCCGGCGCCTGTGTGTTCCCTGACCGTGAGGCAGGCTGGCCTCCCCTCCTGCCTTCTCGGGTCATAACCCAACCCAGTTCACATCAGACCTTATCCTTAAGTCCCGTACCTGTCAGCAGAGCACGTTCCCCCTTGGTGCCCCCACAGGGGTGAAGTGGGCCCACCCTCCACACCCCCTTTCCCTTAGAAAGCTAAGAAAAGGTACTACATCCAAGATGCCTAAGAGCCTTTTATTCTACAAAGAAAGAAAAGCCTTAAAACATAAACATTCTGGGGGAGTAGGAACACACCGATTCAAATTCCTGCTAAGATATAAATGAATTCAACTCGGTCTCTTCCTGGAGAACAGATTTAACAGACAGGAGAGCAAGAAGTGTGAAGGGGATGAGGCTGGGAAACAACCTAAGAATTGGGGGAGGTTTCCAGGGCTGAGGCAGGGCAGCTAAGTCAAAGTTCACCCAATTCCACATCTTTCCAAGTGGAGTCAGAGGCCCTGTCCTTGGGCAGAGCCCTCAGCTTTTGGTTTGAGTGTAGTGGTTTTTTTCTCACTTCTTCCATCTCTGTCTTGTGTCACTTGCTAGTTGATGATCTTATGCATTTGAGGCTCATTTGAGTTCGGCTTAAGGCTCTTCTGTTTCATACACATGTCACAATAGGTGGAAGCTGGGAGCTGCTCCAAACATTTTGAGGATTCTAAGGACTTTCTGCGAGTTCTGAGAATTTTATCAGTATTTATGGTACCCAAACGGCCCATTCTACTCCACAAAGCCTGGCCTGCCTTGATGCCCAGTCCTTCCAGCTTCTGGTTATAAATAGTTAGGAATTAAGAATTGCCTAGTTGGGGTTTAGGAAGTAGATTACTCCTTGAGCTGACAGGATTTGAGGCTCCCTGAATGTAGCCCCGCTTTGCTTCTCTGGACTTTGCCTACCCTGGCTTTGTCCTAGGCCAAGGGGCCAGTGGTTTGTCAAGGTGACGACATGAGACCTCTGAACTTCTAAAAGAGTCTACGAGTAAGCAGAGATTGGGAAGACCTCCATTTCAGTCAGATTTATTGGGCTTCCTCTTCTCTCCCATTGGTTTCCTGAAGGATCAGCCCTCTTCTTAAATAAAAGAAGTTCAATCTGACTCTAGAAGCAAGGTCATATACAGTGGCATCAAATTACCAATTTGCTTCTATCTGTGAACAGATGGGTTTCCCAGCAACATCTCCTTCAGCCTGGAAGAGGAAGAGGAGGAGGAGGGTGGGGAGTCTGTGGAGTTCACGTGCTTCTCGGAAGATCTCGTGGCAGAGCAGCTGACCTACATGGACGCGGTACGTCTTCTCCTCCGGCCCCAGATGAGCTTCTGCTTAAAATGTGGGGACTGACCGTGCTGGTGGTCTGGGGAGGGCAGTGGGGTAATGGGATTTAAGTCTTCTCGAATCCTTGAGAGAGGCTGTGCCTGTAAATGCAGAGTGAAGGTGTAACTTGGAGCAATCATCTGAATAATTCGGGCCTAAACTCTTCTCGCAAATTCTCAGTGAATACTTGGTGCTCAATATACCAAGGGAAATAAGAATTCTAATCATAGTGAAACAAAATCTACCCTGTTGGCGGCTATTTCTCTCCTTTTAGACTCATAAATATTTCAAGATCTGAACAGTTGATTTGGAGGATTATAAAGGGGGTCAAAGTATAAATTAAGGTAAAAGAAATTCACTGAATCCACAGGTGGCTGTATCTGGCAGCTCATTTCCATGTGTGCTTCCTGTACTTTTGAAGTTTGAGTATTTTTGTTAGCTGTACATATTTGATTATGTCAGTCACATTCGATAGCTCAGTATTAGCTGGTAAATACCAGCTAAAGAAAAGGGGGCTGTTATTAATGATCACAATGATTTTGACCCTTAGCACTTGCCACTTTGGAGAAAGCGACATAACAAGTAACAGTTTCCATCTAGTGAGTCAGCAAATAAACTACCAAGAAGTAAATCAAATAGTCTATGTACAGTAAGCCCTGGCGTTATGTTTTACCCAAACCTTTACATCTTTTGTTTGAATTATTGTACAAATGAGAATTGGGTTTGTTCAATGAATTTATTGTTGTTGCATGGATGATAGCATAACAGAAAGATGGAAAATGTCACTCATTGACTTTAGGCTTTAAATTCCTGAAAACCAGGCTTTAAATTTACCCTTTCTTCCTTTTACTGTTCAACATTGAATAGTTTTTGCCTTTTATATGCTTCTTAGTTTGTTCATTTTAAAATAATGTGAGAGCATGACATAGATGACCATAGCATATACTCCTGTGAACCGCCAAGCATTCATACATATTACACACAATTCATGACCGTGAGTGCCCAGAATGTACCCTGCATATGATTTTGATGTCAAAATAATCAGAATCACTTCTTTTTGATTAGTAGTGTAGATTTTTTACCTGTCCTTCCCTCCAAGACAGAAAAGTCAAAATGTTTTTGGCCACTGAAGTTTTCTTCTGGTCATTGTGTACCATTTGTTCAGTTGAGCAGATTTAGAAAGAACACGTGGGCTCTTCTGATCAGTTAGTACATTAATTAATTATTTGCTTTTGTCTGTGGAAATGGACACCAGGAGGCAAATCAAGTAGCAAAGGGTTACTTATCCTTAAAATACCAGTTTACAGATGACCCAGTTGACGTGCTTTGCCGTATGGAATGTCTGTGTTGTGCTTAAAGTCAATTCCTCTTTTGTTCTAGCAACTCTTCAAGAGAGTAGTGCCTCACCACTGCCTGGGCTGCATTTGGTCTCAAAGGGATAAGAAAGAAAACAAACATTTGGCTCCTACGATCCGTGCTACCATCTCTCAGTTTAACACCCTCACCAAATGCGTTGTCAGCACCATCCTGGGGGGCAAAGAACTCAAAACTCAGCAGAGAGCCAAAGTCATCGAGAAGTGGATTAACATTGCTCATGTAATTGTCTTTTAAAAAATATTCTTTATGTTCAGTAGATACTGGAGGCTACACCATCACTCTAATGGTTGAAGACTGTATACGAGTGCCCATTGGGTTTCTCTTGCTGTTAACTGTTTTTCCAAAGTAAAGAAAAATGTTAGCCTTCCTAACTTGGGAGCTTTTTAAATTTTTTTCCTCTTTAAAAACAATTGGTCCCTCATTCACTTCTTTCTGCTTGTGGGCTCCCACACCACTTCTTCTTCAGGGTGAGACATTCCGTCTGCTTTTTTCTTTGTAGTCATAGGCCGACTCTTGGTTCTGCCCCTTGTACAGTAAATACGAACTGATGGGCTAGGTGACAGACAGACTGCTCTTTGACTCGGTCCGGCTATCCATGTGCCCTTCCAGTACCTGGAAGCATTATATCTTCTGCTGATTTGAAGAGCCAGTACCTTCTCAGAATCCTGAATCTCTTTTCTAGGGTACAGAGATAATAGATTTCACATTAATCTGGGGTTTTTCTTTATTTATGGTACCCAAACGGCCCATTCTACTCCACAAAGCCTGGCCTGCCTTGATGCCCAGTCCTTCCAGCTTCTGGTTATAAATAGTTAGGAATTAAGAATTGCCTAGTTGGGGTTTAGGAAGTAGATTACTCCTTGAGCTGACAGGATTTGAGGCTCCCTGAATGTAGCCCTGCTTTGCTTCTCTGGACTTTGCCTACCCTGGCTTTGTCCTAGGCCAAGGGGCCAGTGGTTTGTCAAGGTGACGACATGAGACCTCTGAACTTCTAAAAGAGTCTACGAGTAAGCAGAGATTGGGAAGACCTCCATTTCAGTCAGATTTATTGGGCTTCCTCTTCTCTCCCATTGGTTTCCTGAAGGATCAGCCCTCTTCTTAAATAAAAGAAGTTCAATCTGACTCTAGAAGCAAGGTCATATACAGTGGCATCAAATTACCAATTTGCTTCTATCTGTGAACAGATGGGTTTCCCAGCAACATCTCCTTCAGCCTGGAAGAGGAAGAGGAGGAGGAGGGTGGGGAGTCTGTGGAGTTCACGTGCTTCTCGGAAGATCTCGTGGCAGAGCAGCTGACCTACATGGACGCGGTACGTCTTCTCCTCCGGCCCCAGATGAGCTTCTGCTTAAAATGTGGGGACTGACCGTGCTGGTGGTCTGGGGAGGGCAGTGGGGTAATGGGATTTAAGTCTTCTCGAATCCTTGAGAGAGGCTGTGCCTGTAAATGCAGAGTGAAGGTGTAACTTGGAGCAATCATCTGAATAATTCGGGCCTAAACTCTTCTCGCAAATTCTCAGTGAATACTTGGTGCTCAATATACCAAGGGAAATAAGAATTCTAATCATAGTGAAACAAAATCTACCCTGTTGGCAGCTATTTCTCTCCTTTTAGACTCATAAATATTTCAAGATCTGAACAGTTGATTTGGAGGATTATAAAGGGGGTCAAAGTATAAATTAAGGTAAAAGAAATTCACTGAATCCACAGGTGGCTGTATCTGGCAGCTCATTTCCATGTGTGCTTCCTGTACTTTTGAAGTTTGAGTATTTTTGTTAGCTGTACATATTTGATTATGTCAGTCACATTCGATAGCTCAGTATTAGCTGGTAAATACCAGCTAAAGAAAAGGGGGCTGTTATTAATGATCACAATGATTTTGACCCTTAGCACTTGCCACTTTGGAGAAAGCGACATAACAAGTAACAGTTTCCATCTAGTGAGTCAGCAAATAAACTACCAAGAAGTAAATCAAATAGTCTATGTACAGTAAGCCCTGGCGTTATGTTTTACCCAAACCTTTACATCTTTTGTTTGAATTATTGTACAAATGAGAATTGGGTTTGTTCAATGAATTTATTGTTGTTGCATGGATGATAGCATAACAGAAAGATGGAAAATGTCACTCATTGACTTTAGGCTTTAAATTCCTGAAAACCAGGCTTTAAATTTACCCTTTCTTCCTTTTACTGTTCAACATTGAATAGTTTTTGCCTTTTATATGCTTCTTAGTTTGTTCATTTTAAAATAATGTGAGAGCATGACATAGATGACCATAGCATATACTCCTGTGAACCGCCAAGCATTCATACACATTACACACAATTCATGACCGTGAGTGCCCAGAATGTACCCTGCATATGATTTTGATGTCAAAATAATCAGAATCACTTCTTTTTGATTAGTAGTGTAGATTTTTTACCTGTCCTTCCCTCCAAGACAGAAAAGTCAAAATGTTTTTGGCCACTGAAGTTTTCTTCTGGTCATTGTGTACCATTTGTTCAGTTGAGCAGATTTAGAAAGAACACGTGGGCTCTTCTGATCAGTTAGTACATTAATTAATTATTTGCTTTTGTCTGTGGAAATGGACACCAGGAGGCAAATCAAGTAGCAAAGGGTTACTTATCCATAAAATACCAGTTTACAGATGACCCAGATGACGTGCTTTGCCGTATGGAATGTCTGTGTTGTGCTTAAAGTCAATTCCTCTTTTGTTCTAGCAACTCTTCAAGAGAGTAGTGCCTCACCACTGCCTGGGCTGCATTTGGTCTCAAAGGGATAAGAAAGAAAACAAACATTTGGCTCCTACGATCCGTGCTACCATCTCTCAGTTTAACACCCTCACCAAATGCGTTGTCAGCACCATCCTGGGGGGCAAAGAACTCAAAACTCAGCAGAGAGCCAAAGTCATCGAGAAGTGGATTAACATTGCTCATGTAATTGTCTTTTAAAAAATATTCTTTATGTTCAGTAGATACTGGAGGCTACACCATCACTCTAATGGTTGAAGACTGTATACGAGTGCCCATTGGGTTTCTCTTGCTGTTAACTGTTTTTCCAAAGTAAAGAAAAATGTTAGCCTTCCTAACTTGGGAGCTTTTTAAATTTTTTTCCTCTTTAAAAACAATTGGTCCCTCATTCACTTCTTTCTGCTTGTGGGCTCCCACACCACTTCTTCTTCAGGGTGAGACATTCCGTCTGCTTTTTTCTTTGTAGTCATAGGCCGACTCTTGGTTCTGCCCCTTGTACAGTAAATACGAACTGATGGGCTAGGTGACAGACAGACCGCTCTTTGACTTGGTCCGGCTATCCATGTGCCCTTCCAGTACCTGGAAGCATTATATCTTCTGCTGATTTGAAGAGCCAGTACCTTCTCAGAATCCTGAATCTCTTTTCTAGGGTACAGAGATAATAGATTTCACATTAATCTGGGGTTTTTCTGAGGGCCTTCTATCTAAAGTTTGAGGGACAGAGGCTATCCTAAGCCTGAATTGCATTCTGCTGAGTGTCAGTCTAGTCTCTGGCATCCGGTGACCTTCATTTATCAGCGTATTATTGCATGACTGAGAAAAGGTGAACAGTATTCAGGCAGTAGGTTACCGATATTTCATGAGCTCCTAAATGCCTCTGTAAGCTCCAATTTTATGTACTTTGAGGGTATAGATAGGATGAACACAGTTAATTTGGTTCTGCAGGAGCCTGTAGTCAAACAAGGAAGCTAAGATAATGTACGGGAATTATCTCAGCCTAGGCAGAGGAAGAGCCCAGCGCGTGAGGTGAGCGCTGTAGAAGTGGATGAGAGAGCGACGCCTCTGGCTGTGCTCATCAGTGAAGGTTTCACGGGTAGGATGACACTGGAATTTAGCTTTGAATAACAGATAGGTGCTTTGGTATTTGAAGATTGGGCAAGATTTTTTTTTCCTAGGCAGAAGAAGTTATATCAGCAAAAGCTATGTGATTAATGATTTTGAAAAATAATTATTACATAAATATCCTATGAGTCCACGTTCTGGACTATATGAGTCAACCCTCAACCATGACACATTTTGCCTTTCTATCCCAATATTTCTTTTTTCACTAAGCCTCTATCTGTAGGCCCTAATGCTTAAACTTAAACATTCTTTGTTTCACATTCTCTTTTGTTGTCTTTGATTAGAAAGCAAGGCCAAAATCATGCCAAAGAATTTGCCATATTTTGAGTTTTTAGGTGGTCTGTTGCTACAGACTTTTTAGTGCATGAAAAATGTAAGAAACAAAGAATATCATATACATCTTAGATTTCTCCTATCCCGAATTGAGCCTTTCTCTCAAATGAGAGCTACAAAGTAGAACCTGATAGTGTATGATAGAGCATGGAACTTCTCTGTCTTTTTAGAATGATGAAATATTTTTTTGCTAAAAGTACCATAGCCTTTTGTCCATTCAACTATTTAGAAAATCTATAACAAGAATACAGCAACTGTATGTTATGATGGTGTAGCTCAAACAATGACTTTTGGTCCAAATTAAATATAATTTGTGCATTTATGTGATTATAAGAAATATAAGTTGAATGATTAGAAGAATATTCCAAATCTCACAGCGGGTACTTAAAAGCCAAGGGTCCTTTCTCTTGGTGATGTAGTTTCCTAATGTTGAGCATGTTGTGCCCCTTGAAATTGTATAGAGTAACATAATAAAATAATGAAACTCACAGGTGCTTTCCTGCCAAGATTTATTTTATTTTTCCTCCATTAATCACAGTCAATTTCTAGTGAGAGGATGTTTGAAAAATGATAATTTACATACAGAAAATATTTCTGACCTAATATGACAGTATTTTCTTGGACTGGCCTTTCTGCTACATTTTTACTTGCTTCACATCTCCTGGAAGATGCCTCCCTTTCTAGAAATGAGGCCAGATGCCTTTTGTCCTCCTTTAAACTCTTAGCTTAAGCCTCTTTCTGAGTGATGTGTTCCATATGTTTATTACAATTTGCATGACATATCTTTGCCCGACTTCCTTTATGTATTGCAAGTTTCCTGATTTTAAAAGATGACTTTTGGATTCTGAACCTTTGTTGAACCATGCTGTCTCTCATGTGCTTGTGCTTCCAAACTGACTGTCATTCAGAGCTAGCTAGCTCATGCTCTCTTTCCTCCTTTATTTTTAAGTAAGGGGAGGGCATTGAGATCTTTAAAAAGAGTGGGCAAGACTTTTGAAACATATTTTGGCATTTATTCTAAGAAAAAAACGTTTGCAGGTTTGTTTGGCATAGTTTTAAGCAACCAGATTTTGGCATGCTAAGGCAGAGAATGCTGTTTTTCCTACCTACTCAGGATTAGCATTACTTCGTAAAATGATCTTTTAAGCAATGCATGTTTGTGCCTAACTCTGGGACCTCTTGCCCCAAATATTCTGTACGAAGCCAAGCCCATGCTCACACAGTGTCCTCAATTGTCAACAGTGGATGGATTATACTCCCAAATGCCTGTATTTGAAGCGTCTTCTTTGATGTAAGTCATAGTCCACTCCCCCCATGTTGCCAAGAGCGGGACCCTCTCCCTGACTATTTTTCTGTCCTTGCCATCCATTCAGCAGGACATTGACTCCTAGGTCACTGGCTGCTGGTCTTGTAGACTCTATATGGTAGCTTAAGTTTCAGAATCAGAGAGCCTTTCTTCTTACCCAGAAAATGACATCCAGAATGCTTCCTGTTCTATTTTGCTTTAAAATGCTGCCAAAATGAATTTCATTTTAAAAGCCCAAGTTATTTTGGAAACACTGAAGCACCAAGGTGTTGCTGAGTGTTTATGATTGAGGCACAAGCCAATTTGAAACTAAATAAATGTGTATAAAAATATTCCCTCTTGGCTAAAAGCGTAAAAAAAGGTTCAACTTGTGGTGAATTTTTGTTGCCAAGTTATATACACCTATCTGGACAAGGGTTGGTCGTGAGACGTTCGATGCCATCTGACCTCAAAGTGGCTGCGGCTGGGTTCACTTTGTGGGTCTAAGGACTCAGTGATCTCTTGTGTGTATTTTTAGGGCATCTGTGTGTTTTCCACAGAGGAAAGTTTGCTTTCTCTAGCATAGCTCTGCAGACTCACCTCCATTCCTGTTTTTACTAGGAAAGCTGGAAACTATAAAACTGTAACAACAACGCAGAAAATATATTAAAGGGAGAAAAACAAGCATACGCTGCCAAAGTCTATAAAGTGTTTTGGTGACTGGGGTGGGAGTAAGGAGCCACTTTTTGATGTTCAGTATTTATACAGCTGTCTATTTAGTGGTAAGAATTCATAGCAGCTGTGATACCTCTAAAACAGGAAACCACCAACTCACTGTATTATTGATATTTAAATGCCTTTTATATGTGTTTTAATCACTCTCCATACAGGAATGTAGGATCCTGAAGAATTTTTCCTCCTTGAGGGCCATCATTTCGGCACTGCAGTCCAATTCCATCTATAGGTTAAAAAAGACTTGGGCTGCGGTCCCAAAGTAAGTTCCCAAGTGTCTGCTCTGCTTTCTTTGGCTGGGGTGATTAGTTGCTAAATAAATGGTGTGGGTCCTCATCTTCAAAGCTCATATTATATAACCAGAGAAACATCTCTGAAAGCTCTGTGTGTTCCAGTCAGGGTGCATTTCACACATAATCATTAATGAGTTTTGAGGCGGGGTGGCTGCAGAAATCAAACTCATTCTCAAAGTAAGCCAAAGCCAAGATTATTGGCTTTGGGGATAACTTTAAGGATGTGCTTATTATCTGGGTTTTGAGGATAAGATTGTGGAGTGATAAAGTTACAGCAATTTGCCATGACTTCAGGTTGTTTTTCAGCCTCATTCCAAAATCCTAAGCGATTCCAAGAGTGAGGGATAATGTGTGCAGATAGAACATTAGTTCTTTCTGTTCAACAAGAATCCATTTAGTTTCTGCTTCAACATTTTCAAAGCTATCTTAGTGATGTTAAATCCTGTAAGTGTTCCTTACCTAGGTGCCTGATTAAAATTATTAACTAGCTACATTCTGTATTGTTTTTGCCATATTTCTTGGTGTGACCTTTGAATCAATGGACAATTTAATGGCACTGTTTTACCATCATTCTCTCCCTCCATTTCCGGAAGTTCAGTTGTAGACCAGAGAGTTTTTCGCAAAGGAGGAAAGGGGGAATGAGGTGACAGTTCGGGTCCCTATCAGTGTAGATTTAGAGGCTGGGGAATGTGTCATGGCTACAAACTAGGCCAGCTAAATCACAAGTCTACCTAGGTTTCATCTAATCAAGAAGTCTGGCTGTATCCGGGAAGAATGTGTAAACTGTTTATAGTCTATACTGCATGTCAGGAGAGAGGCCAGCTGGCTCCCCAGGCAGGCCTGCCCTTGTGGAATTAGGGGGTTCACTCCTTAGAGTGGAGTATCTAGCTGCTCCTTTTGATCAATTCACTCAGAGCTGATTAAGCCCTAAGGGACTCAGATTTTGGCATGCTAAGGCAGAGAATGCTGTTTTTCCTACCTACTCAGGATTAGCATTACTTCGTAAAATGATCTTTTAAGCAATGCATGTTTGTGCCTAACTCTGGGACCTCTTGCCCCAAATATTCTGTACGAAGCCAAGCCCATGCTCACACAGTGTCCTCAATTGTCAACAGTGGATGGATTATACTCCCAAATGCCTGTATTTGAAGCGTCTTCTTTGATGTAAGTCATAGTCCACTCCCCCCATGTTGCCAAGAGCGGGACCCTCTCCCTGACTATTTTTCTGTCCTTGCCATCCATTCAGCAGGACATTGACTCCTAGGTCACTGGCTGCTGGTCTTGTAGACTCTATATGGTAGCTTAAGTTTCAGAATCAGAGAGCCTTTCTTCTTACCCAGAAAATGACATCCAGAATGCTTCCTGTTCTATTTTGCTTTAAAATGCTGCCAAAATGAATTTCATTTTAAAAGCCCAAGTTATTTTGGAAACACTGAAGCACCAAGGTGTTGCTGAGTGTTTATGATTGAGGCACAAGCCAATTTGAAACTAAATAAATGTGTATAAAAATATTCCCTCTTGGCTAAAAGCGTAAAAAAAGGTTCAACTTGTGGTGAATTTTTGTTGCCAAGTTATATACACCTATCTGGACAAGGGTTGGTCGTGAGACGTTCGATGCCATCTGACCTCAAAGTGGCTGCGGCTGGGTTCACTTTGTGGGTCTAAGGACTCAGTGATCTCTTGTGTGTATTTTTAGGGCATCTGTGTGTTTTCCACAGAGGAAAGTTTGCTTTCTCTAGCATAGCTCTGCAGACTCACCTCCATTCCTGTTTTTACTAGGAAAGCTGGAAACTATAAAACTGTAACAACAACGCAGAAAATATATTAAAGGGAGAAAAACAAGCATACGCTGCCAAAGTCTATAAAGTGTTTTGGTGACTGGGGTGGGAGTAAGGAGCCACTTTTTGATGTTCAGTATTTATACAGCTGTCTATTTAGTGGTAAGAATTCATAGCAGCTGTGATACCTCTAAAACAGGAAACCACCAACTCACTGTATTATTGATATTTAAATGCCTTTTATATGTGTTTTAATCACTCTCCATACAGGAATGTAGGATCCTGAAGAATTTTTCCTCCTTGAGGGCCATCATTTCGGCACTGCAGTCCAATTCCATCTATAGGTTAAAAAAGACTTGGGCTGCGGTCCCAAAGTAAGTTCCCAAGTGTCTGCTCTGCTTTCTTTGGCTGGGGTGATTAGTTGCTAAATAAATGGTGTGGGTCCTCATCTTCAAAGCTCATATTATATAACCAGAGAAACATCTCTGAAAGCTCTGTGTGTTCCAGTCAGGGTGCATTTCACACATAATCATTAATGAGTTTTGAGGCGGGGTGGCTGCAGAAATCAAACTCATTCTCAAAGTAAGCCAAAGCCAAGATTATTGGCTTTGGGGATAACTTTAAGGATGTGCTTATTATCTGGGTTTTGAGGATAAGATTGTGGAGTGATAAAGTTACAGCAATTTGCCATGACTTCAGGTTGTTTTTCAGCCTCATTCCAAAATCCTAAGCGATTCCAAGAGTGAGGGATAATGTGTGCAGATAGAACATTAGTTCTTTCTGTTCAACAAGAATCCATTTAGTTTCTGCTTCAACATTTTCAAAGCTATCTTAGTGATGTTAAATCCTGTAAGTGTTCCTTACCTAGGTGCCTGATTAAAATTATTAACTAGCTACATTCTGTATTGTTTTTGCCATATTTCTTGGTGTGACCTTTGAATCAATGGACAATTTAATGGCACTGTTTTACCATCATTCTCTCCCTCCATTTCCGGAAGTTCAGTTGTAGACCAGAGAGTTTTTCGCAAAGGAGGAAAGGGGGAATGAGGTGACAGTTCGGGTCCCTATCAGTGTAGATTTAGAGGCTGGGGAATGTGTCATGGCTACAAACTAGGCCAGCTAAATCACAAGTCTACCTAGGTTTCATCTAATCAAGAAGTCTGGCTGTATCCGGGAAGAATGTGTAAACTGTTTATAGTCTATACTGCATGTCAGGAGAGAGGCCAGCTGGCTCCCCAGGCAGGCCTGCCCTTGTGGAATTAGGGGGTTCACTCCTTAGAGTGGAGTATCTAGCTGCTCCTTTTGATCAATTCACTCAGAGCTGATTAAGCCCTAAGGGACTGACACTCTCCAAACTTGCAAGAGATCCAGACTGATCAATCAGAGTTTCATAAAGTTATGCTGAAAAATGAGTGGCAGAGTACTCAAGCTTACCAACGAGCTCATAGCCACAATCAGAGGAAAGTCTACTTGGCGGAAGTCATATTATTTATTATGTAATTCTTCAAATGATAAAGAGGAAAAATTGAACTAGATGATCAAATCACAGCTATAGAAGCACAGCCACTATAGCTCCAGATCTCACACTCTGTGTACAATGCCATTATCTACCAGTAGCACACATGACAGATAGACTTTTCAAAGGCCAGTGCAATTTTCTTGATTACCACTCTTCCCTCAGGTTCTTTCATCTCTTCATTAGTTTGAATAACCAAGGCGATTCTCTGTGTGAAAAAGAGATTAGTTGTTTGATTTTGCTCTGCATATAAATCTTACAAAAGAGATAAATCATATACAATCGCTAGACAGGCCCTGTGATGCAGTGGGAAAGCCAGGTGCATGCACACAGATTCCTCATCCTCAATAGCCAGCCCCTTATTCTTCCCCTCATCCCTGTTCCCCAAAGGGTAGCAAAAACAAAGGGATGGTCAGGTGTTAAAATGCAGCCTCACCCAATTAATTGCAGCCTTCCCTGATTGCAGTGAAAGGTAATCCTATATTTCTTTGGTGGTTGATGAATAGAATACTATGGAAAATCACTTTGGCAGCCAAAGATTTCTTCCACAGCAAATTTGAAGCTAAAACACAAGTGAAGAAACTAGTAGACTTGTATCTTAATCTCTTGGTTAACACACAAGAAGGGCCATTCTTCCAGCTGGCTTTTTTAACAATAAACCCAAAACAAACCTCAGAGCTGCATTCTGTGCAATGTGGGTGCCTGGTTTTTTTCTTAGGTGGCTGGTTGATTGACGTTTCAGCAGGGATGCTACAAAAGTATCACAGTTCCTTAGAGAAGACACTTCCATATCAGCTTTGCGTATTTGCCCCTGCTAAATTCAAGGGGCATGGTTAGGATACCTTATTTGGTTCTCACTTCCTTTATAATCCTTTACACTAATAACTTCCAGAGAACAGAGTAGACATCCATCATCCATTTATTTCTCTTTATTTAGGCCCACATGTAATTAAGTTCTTAATTATTTTTTTCCAAAATAGAAACAGCTTTAATGGTTTTCTTTATTATAAGAGTAATACTACATGCAGTGTAAAACAGGTAAGTTCTTAATAATGGCTTTCTCATGATAATGAAAATGCTGCAATATTAAATAATGGTATTGCCCCTGTTAATTCTTTGCCTGCAGGATCATCCACTCAGTGGCCCTGGAGGTGGAGTGTACTATGTACTAGACAGGGTCCAGGGCAGAGTAGGGCTCTGATATGTGAACCTCCTGACCATCATAGCCATTCTACAAAGGCATGATTAGTATTTTCATTGCACAGATAATACATTTGAAGCTCAGGAAAGTTAAAGAACTTGTCCAGGACCACTGGGGGAGTGAGCGGCAGGGTTGGGATGTGAGCCCAGCCCCCTGACTCCAGAGTCTGTCCTGATTCCACCATCTACTGTGACTCTGAGAGTGAGAACACTGGCCTGGGAGTCAGGAAATTCAGGTCCTTATACTCACAACTCTGAGCAGTCAGTACTGGAGACTCGGGAAAATCCCTGACCCTGGCATCTCCATCTCTAAAATGAGGGGGCTGGCCAGGATGATTTCTCAGGTCCCAAGGGGGCTGTGTGTATGTTGCTAAGATAGATTTTTTTTTAATTGTTGAAGGGAACATATCCCAACTGAACAACTTAATTCCCCTTTGCCCCTGCTAAATTCAAGGGGCATGGTTAGGATACCTTATTTGGTTCTCACTTCCTTTATAATCCTTTACACTAATAACTTCCAGAGAACAGAGTAGACATCCATCATCCATTTATTTCTCTTTATTTAGGCCCACATGTAATTAAGTTCTTAATTATTTTTTTCCAAAATAGAAACAGCTTTAATGGTTTTCTTTATTATAAGAGTAATACTACATGCAGTGTAAAACAGGTAAGTTCTTAATAATGGCTTTCTCATGATAATGAAAATGCTGCAATATTAAATAATGGTATTGCCCCTGTTAATTCTTTGCCTGCAGGATCATCCACTCAGTGGCCCTGGAGGTGGAGTGTACTATGTACTAGACAGGGTCCAGGGCAGAGTAGGGCTCTGATATGTGAACCTCCTGACCATCATAGCCATTCTACAAAGGCATGATTAGTATTTTCATTGCACAGATAATACATTTGAAGCTCAGGAAAGTTAAAGAACTTGTCCAGGACCACTGGGGGAGTGAGCGGCAGGGTTGGGATGTGAGCCCAGCCCCCTGACTCCAGAGTCTGTCCTGATTCCACCATCTACTGTGACTCTGAGAGTGAGAACACTGGCCTGGGAGTCAGGAAATTCAGGTCCTTATACTCACAACTCTGAGCAGTCAGTACTGGAGACTCGGGAAAATCCCTGACCCTGGCATCTCCATCTCTAAAATGAGGGGGCTGGCCAGGATGATTTCTCAGGTCCCAAGGGGGCTGTGTGTATGTTGCTAAGATAGATTTTTTTTTAATTGTTGAAGGGAACATATCCCAACTGAACAACTTAATTCCCCAATTTAACAGTCCTTATTTTATGATTATAACATACATGGTTAGAAAGTAGCCCTCTCTTCATACAAATGACCGTGTCAACCTTAAAAAAAGAAGCCACCCTGCCTAGAAAAAGTCAGTGTCTTCATCATTGCACCCCCTGATCCTGAGATCAGTACCATCCTGTAGCCTAAAGTACTGAGGACAGCTGGGCCCAAGGTGTTGGGTTTTTACCAACTCTTCATTTGTTAATATTTTCTTAACCCCCTTTATAGGGACCGAATGCTGATGTTTGAAGAACTTTCAGATATTTTCTCAGACCATAATAACCATTTGACCAGCCGGGAGCTGCTGATGAAGGTGAGATGCTGGGTAGCTTGGGAGTCCATGCAAGGCCATGGAGGGCTCCTTAATTTCCTACAGTCCCATGGGAAAGCCTGCAGTGACCAGGAAGGAGAATTTTTGTTTTTTATACTGAATCGAAGAAGCTTGAGGTTGAGCATATTCAAAGTCCAGCTCCTCAGCTTCACTATTGTGCAACTGGGTTGGGAAAGTTGTGCTCACGTGTGTATTTCTTTAACAAGCTGCTCTGCAGATGCCAAGTACCAGCCCTTAGGTGGATGAGAGGCCCTGGAATCTTCCTTCTCAGCAAAACAGCTTCCAGAACAACAGAGGCCAAACCTGTATTTACATAGCCTGTATTTGGACTTAATTGTGCCATCTGTCAGTCAGCAATATTTATTGAACACCAAGTGAGTGCTGACTTCTGAACTAAAGGATAGGTAAAGGCATAGCATTAGTGTGGTTCATTTTATTTCTGCAGACATTTGCTGATTGCCTAATATTTGTAAAGTATTAAACTGACCCCTAGAAATATGAAGACGACTAATACCAGCCCTGTTTTCAAGAATTCACCTTCTAGTTGGTGGCTATAGACACTAAACAAGAATAAGAAGTAGACAAATACAAAAGAGTATATTTGCTACCATTGAGGGAAGCTCTGAACTGGGCAATTAGAAGATATGATCCTTGTCTTTAGTCTCTTTTTCTGTAAATTGGAGAAAATAATAGTATTTAGTCTACTGACCTTACAGAATTGTTTTGAAGATTGACTGAGATAAAATATTTAAAAGCACTGTGCAAATGTGAGTTGTTTTTAATATTTGGCAAAGCTATATGCATATGAAACCAAAGTATGCATAACAAATGAAAATGAATAAAGTATAAGCTGCATTTGCAAGCTTAAGGCAGACCCTTGGAGTAGGAATGAAAGTTAAATGGAGGTAAAGTTACTAAGAAAAGCCATCCAGTTGATAACTATTAGATTAGTCTTCCCTGTAGAAGCAACTGCTGTTGTCTTTCTGACTTTTCTCCTCCAAAGTCCTGCTCTTCTGTCAGGTCTCAGTGCAGAGTCCCCTTCATTTGGAGGCCTTCCTTGACACTCTCAGGTCTGACTGACTGCCTTCCCATGTGCTCCGGGAGAAGCCTAACATTGCCCTGTCCCAGCTCTGAGCATATGTTCTAGGAATTGCTGGGTACTTAAACCATCTCCCTACTGGCTTGTAAGCCTCCTGCAGGCAGACTGCGTTTATCTTTTACACTGATACTTCCCTAATGCCTGGCATGTAGCAAGTGTTCAGAAATTATGTTTGACTGCATGAATTGAGGGACATTATAATTTACATGCCTTTAACAGCTTGCCCACTATTAGTCCTTTTTGGAGTAAATGATATGAACAGTCCAGTTTATGCTGATGTCTGACTTCAGTTTTGGCCTACCCGATTAACTATACACGAAACAGTGCTGCTGAGATCACCTTACTCCCTCTTCACATCCCCCTGAATTTGCAGACTTTAAATGAAAACTCATCTGGCTGGAAGGAGATGGCTTAGTGGTCTCCCTGTCAGTAATACAAAACTAGACTAACTGGAGCCATATATTCAAATCCCAATAGCTCTGAGTCATCCTTCCAAAGTAGATAAATTGAATACTGTGCAGCTCATTGCCTCATGGCAGTCTTCCGACTGAAACCTTAGAAGCAAAGCTGTATCTAGATATTAAAGGCCCCATAAACCTTTCTTAAATATAGAAGTTTACCCTGCTTCTCTAAATCCAATTTCTTAAGTCTGGCTCAAATCCCAAAGAAATGAAAAACCTGGCTATGATTTCATGTGGTCTGTGAATTATCATTGATGACAGTGGAATGTGTTGGGCGGTCCATATGTATATGTAGGTTCCTTCCAGTCATCTCTGTTGATCATTCTTCATACAAAGTGTATAATTCTGGGGGTAGTTCTCTCAGCACAGTTGTAAAAAAATGAAATCAAGGTACTTAGGTCCTCAAAAGAACCACTGAGAAAAGCTGCTGACCTCTGTTTCTGATATGCCACTCCTGGACTTCTACTGATTTATGGTTTGGGGTAATCTTACTTTTGAAGACCTCTCTTCTCTTCTACTTCTGGGTAGATATGAGTCCTACCTCTATAATATTATGGCTGAGGCAACATAATAATTAGCAGAAATATAGGGTTTTCCTTTTAATTGTTGGGAAAAGTTTTTATTTTTCTCAGAAACTATCTTAAAACTGTTACTGCCTTATGATTTCTGAAATTTAGATAACTCTAAGCAGGTGAGTTGTAGAGTACACAAATTTCAGAAGAACAGCAAAGCAGAATATTCCCAGCTCTTCTCAGTTCTTGGGACTTTTGGGGAAAATTCTCCCTGGTTGAACTGATGTAAACAAGTGCTAGAAAGCCCCTAGAATTGGGCTCTGTTGGAGATGAATGTTAGTGAAGCTCCGAAACACTCAGAAGTCAGAGTTGGAGCAGAATGCTGTTAGGACTGTAAAGACCTATTCAAATAACTACCATTCCCTTGAGCTCTAATTTAAGCAACATTCACTGAGAAGAGTCCAGTGGCTGTGTAACACCCTAGTAGGAGAGGCTTCTCTGAGGCCTGGAACAGGGTGAATGAGGGCCTCTGAATCCTGCCAGGGATGGAGACAGAAGGTGAGACTCAGGTGAGAAATTTTGCACAAGAAAGAGAGAGAGAGAGAGAGGACAGAAGAGGGGAGAGACCAGAGGAGAGTGGAAGGTTGTAGAAGGAGAGGGAGAGATTTGGGATTCATCCAAACATAGGTGATAATTAAGGTCACAGGCCAGATAGTATTTCCAAAGACATGAATATAGCAAAAAACGAGAAGATGACTTTGACAGCAAGAGAAAGAGCCACTGAGGGAGCCTGGCAGTGCAGGGGGCAGGAGGACATGGCAGAGGGACGCAGTCACAAGGCCTGTGACATCTCTGAGCAAGTTTCAAGGGATTGGTGGCGTGAGACCTTGCGGAGCAAAGGACTTCAGGCTGAGGATGGAAAATAGTGACACTACTGGATGCAGTAAATAGTGGGTTTTCAGTTGACACCTCATTAGTCAGTCGTTTTTAGTTTTCCAGGAATGGACTCTTCCGCTCAGGAAGTCGTGACCCCAGCAAATCAGCGGGCGTTTAACTCCCTGCCTCAAATCTTCCTCTCTCCTCCCCATGGAGGGTTCGTGCTCTGTGCTCTTTTCAGATCCCTCCCAGGTCTGCTACCTGTGACTCGTAGCAGCCTTTAAACTTTTTTTGGGAATCCTTCCTGAGAGTTGTAGGTGTATCTGCAGTCATGTCCATAAAGTATCCCCCTGCCAATGACTGAGAAACTGAAGGGAACCAGCGGGCCCTACACGGTGGGAAGAGGTGGGCGCTGGTTTCCAAGTCAGGCAGAATTGGTTCCTCACTGCTACCTGTGACTCGTAGCAGCCTTTAAACTTTTTTTGGGAATCCTTCCTGAGAGTTGTAGGTGTATCTGCAGTCATGTCCATAAAGTATCCCCCTGCCAATGACTGAGAAACTGAAGGGAACCAGCGGGCCCTACACGGTGGGAAGAGGTGGGCGCTGGTTTCCAAGTCAGGCAAAATTGGTTCCTCACTCCCAGCAAATCCTCGAGACTTTGGAAGGACTCCGGGCACCTGCCACAGGAAATGGCACATTTTAGGCCACTTTCACTCATCCCTAGGAGGAAGTAGACCTGGAAGGTCATTAAACAATACCTCTCTTTATTATCATTTTTAATTAGGAGAATTAATATAAGTGAGTCACTGTGGGCTCTGGACCCCATTTAAAGCTGGCGAACAATAGACAGTCTCACCTTTCTGTCACTGAAAAGGTTTGTGCAGTCGTACAGTACTGAATGGTCCCGTGCTATGGTAATATAATAAGCCCAGCAAAATCTGACTAAGGAAAGGACTGCACGAGTTCTACACTGCTGACTGTGCAGTTGGCCTCCCATTCATACGGTTCCTGGAAAACGAGAACTTAGTAAGACCCTGAAACCACAGAACCGAAAGCACTATGTTCAGTCAGCAAACCCGAGCTCACTCACGACGTAGAAGCATTTGTTAGAACAACAGACGGGAGGAGAGAATGGGCAGCCACCTGTCGTCAGGAGCCAGGACAAAGGCGTGATTTGTAAGAGGCCCAGCACCTGAGAGGCAACCCGGGAGACTGATTGGGGGAGAAAAGGGAAAGGATGAAGTTCTGGCTTTCATAGCTGAGCGCTGTGCTGTGCACGATACTGGACTTCCTCAGAAAGCTTCCGGTACACAAGGCTCATTTAGCTAAGAAATACCACAGAAATAGTCCCTTTTCTTTCACAGAATGCTGGCATATGCATTTCAGGCGAAGATCAAGAAATCACAAAATGTCCAGAGGAAGAGATCTTCATTTCCAGGACATGTGACTACTTCGAGTGGTATTTGGGATGTGTAGAAATTGTCCCCAGTCCCGGGAATGGCCTGCCTGTGTTTTGACGATTGATTTTATCACCAAGTCAGAGCCTGTTCTTATAAAGTAAGGGGAAAACAGGCTAATTCAAGGCCGCCAGACTTTACTACAAAGACCACTCGCAACAAGCTGGCCAAATATTTGCAGAACTCAGCCGGGAGCTGCTGGAGGCCTCTTCGCTCTCCAGCACCCAGACAGCTGGGCCGAGGTTCTGTACCAGACACTGCATGCTTCCCTCGCTCCTCTCTAGCTCATTCCCATCACTGTCCTCTGTGAATGCTTCTGTTTCTTAGGAAGGAACCTCAAAATTTGCAAACCTGGACAGCAGCGTGAAGGAAAACCAGAAGCGGACTCAGAGGCGGCTTCAGCTCCAGAAGGACATGGTATGTAGGGCCCTCGGGCTTCCCCGACAGCCCACCAGAAGGTGGCCCTGTGTGGGTGGCCGGGCCCCACAGGGCACCAGCAATCCACAGGGTGCCCATGCTTTCAAAAAAGTTCTCTCCCTCTGCCTCCTTTGCTCTCAACACCCTGGGAGGTCTGTAGGAATATCCCGTCACCCTCCTGTAACCCAGTAGGAAATAGTGAGAATTGCAAAATGGTGTCCTCTGAAACAGTGTTTTTCTAGAGGGAAGGGAAGGTCTGTGCAGGTAGACTTCTGTCCCTTTTGCCCTGATCCTCTGTCCCCTCCTGCACTTAGAAGCAGCTGCTACCTTGGCCTTGAGACCTCTGGAGTTTGGTTCCCCTCCAGGAATACCTACCGTCATCAGCTCTGGACACACGGTAGCCCAGGGCCAAGGTGCCCAGGAAAAAGAGTGTCTGCTCCCAGGGGCACTTGGTCCGTGTACTCAGAGACCTTTCCATTCATTCCAAAGCCTGTGTTCATTTCCCAGCTTTCCTTACTAACCCCACATCATTCTAGTTTTTCAGTACCCAAAGGAGTATCATGCCTCCCTCCTGAAGACTGAAAGATAGCCATTGTCATCTTTAGCTTTATTTTAAAAACTCTCCTAGCTTTTAGCACCGAAGGAGGAAAACCAGTGAGAGGCAATTAGAGGCTGACAAACTCTAAATGCCCTTGTCCCTGCTTTAGAGGACTTGCTCCTGCTTTGGAAAGCTGGACGTGAATCAGAAACATCGTTTTTGAATGATAGGACTCCTCTGTGGGACACAGCCTATAAAACATTCATAGCATTTAAAACTTTTTCACTTGTTCAAAGACAAATTAAAAATAGCTATTAAAAAGACTGTTTTGGTTCAGGATGAGACCTTGTGCACATGATGGGGGAGGACAAACCACAGCTGACAGTGAGCCCTGAAGGACAGATGCCCCTAGGAGTGAACCTCGCAAAGCAGTTCTGGCCGAGGAAACGGCCGGCCTCACGTCAAGCAGCCTGGAGCTTCGTCTTGCCCTGATGAGGCTGTTTTCTTGGCAGAACTTCCATAAGAGCCTGAGTGGAGTTGAAGATAAGCCTGTGGAAGCCCCTTTATATTTTCTTTTCAGAATGGTCTGTACCTTGGTGACCTTAGGGAGATAGAGATGATTTCAGAGGAGATTTGGTGAAATTAAAAAAGAGTATACCTGCAGTTGAAGTGATTCTACTCTATTTCCTAGGGCCAATTAAAAAAAAAAACTATTTCGGAATTTGCAGATATGTTCCAGATAGTACATAGAGTTTCTGTGAACCCTTCACCCAGTTTCCCCATTGTCATCATCTTCTCTGACCATGGCGCATCTCTCAGTGCTAAGACATTGGCACTCTGGCACGCTGCTTTTAACTAAAATCTGGACTTTCTGTGGATCCCACCGCTTTTCCGTTATATCCTCCTTCTCTTCTGGGATGCAGTCCAGTGTACCAGCTGTGCCAGGCTATCGCGTCTCCCCGGCCTCCTCCACTCTGTGACAGTACCCGAGGTGAACTTGTTGTGCATTACCTTGACTATCTTAAGGGGTATTTTCCTGGTAGTCAACAGCCAGGGTACATCCGTTGTTTTCCCAGTGAATAGACTGAGGTTACAGGTTTGGGGTAAGAATATCGCAGAGGTGCAAAGCCCCTCTCACTGCATCGTATCAAGAAGTGAGTGCCATCTGGTGTCACTGCTGATGTTAGCCCTCATCACTTGGTTAAGGTAGAGTTTGTCCGTTTCAGCTTTAAATTTAACTACTGTTCCCTTTCCTGCCTCTCTTCTTTGACATGAGTCACAGAGTCTCACAAGGGGCAATTTACTAGTGGCACCCTGTCCTCTTGGGGTGTGCACTCTCCTCCTTTTCCAGTGGCAAGGCCGCCCCCTTCCGGGGCCATTCCAAACCACTGAGTATGTCCACATGCTCTGAAAGAGAACAGATGCCCCTCTGACTTGAGCCTAAGAAAGCGGTAAGCCCCTCTGGGAACACTCTTAAACATATTTTGTGACCTCCTGGCTTTGAGGAATGGTTTTCATAACTTTGAAAGTCAGTCATTAAGTGATGGCATTCCTGTCCTATTTGTGCAGAAATGTTAAACATTTCATTCATGGAAGTTAGCATGAATGGCTCCAAATGAAGCCTTAAGTGGTCCTGAGTTCTCCTCCAAGTGTGGTTGAGGCTTACCTGGTCATTCAGAGATCCCTGCTTCCGTCTGCCAGGAGACATGCTAAATTTGGCCGACAAGTCCACCTGCTCCACTGTGGAGCTGATTGAAGTCCCTACACTGTTCAGTAACAACCAAGACCGTTTTCCTGTGCTTGCTCTTCAGGGAGTGATGCAAGGCACAGTGCCCTACTTGGGCACCTTCCTGACTGACCTGACCATGCTTGACACGGCTCTGCAGGACTACATCGAGGTGAGTTCTGCACAGGTGGGGAGGTTGGCCTGAAGCCTTCTCACTGGGTAGCCAGGAGAAAAGTCACCTTTATTAGTAGCGAGAGGCCATTCTGTACATGGCATTGTGCTAGATGCCGTGAGTAATACCAAAATGAGTAACACTGCAAGTGGCGTACAGTCTAGGAAGGTGTATGTCAAAGCAGGCAGTGATTGCCAGAAATATTAAGAATTCAAATAGAAACGCAGTGAGGGAAGAGGGGAAGCCACAATCAGTTCCATATGAGGGAATGTGACAGCCTTAGGAAGGAGCAGGTTTGAGCAAGACCTTGACACTGAGCAGGACTTTGTCAGGTGGAGCTGAGGGGATAATGTGCCCTAACTTGGCTTCCTGGTGAGGTACCAGCCAAATTCATGGATTTCTAAGTATCTCTTTTTTTCCCCATATTATTACCTGCTCTGAGGTGCACTTTTGTTGGGTAAGTGGAAGAAGAGGTAAAACTTGGTCAGACAAGCTATTTGTTAATAGCTGTAATAAAATCCTAAGTGGAGAAGAAACTTGACATGAGATTTAAGGATTGCTTGTATATTTAAGTTTATCTGCCTCCCTGGTAACCAGATGCAGTCAGTCTGCTTTTCCACTCTCCTGAGTAGGAGTAGCAGTTACTGTACCTATGTCTGCCTCTGGGTTTGTCCTCAGTGTTGTGGACGTGTTCATTCATCTTGCATTTCCTGCACGCTGTGTCCCTCCACATCCTCTGCCTTAGCTTATCTCAGGAAACACTCATTAGCGTTGGGATCCGTGGGGGGTGACCAATGACTGAGACATTAAATCCAGCCTACTGAGAATAGGAGCTGGGGGGATAAAGAATGGAAACTTAACTATTCATGACGCTGTGTAGAAGTGACTTCCTTTTGATAAACCATTGACAATTTGGTTTCCAGTATGAGAAAGTGAGCATTGTTTTTGTGGCTTTTGGTCAGGAAAAAAAGTATAATGAAACATTTACTCAAGCTTTGGCCTTTACTGGCTCTGCAAATGTGTTCTGGATTCTGAATTGTGACTCCTGTTTATCGCTACTATTTTAATTGGTTTTAGATTTTTAAGAGAAAGCCGTCTGCCTATCGTCTGCCTGTTAGAATTGAAAGAATGTATTTCTTGAAGCAAATGATGCTTCTCTTCCTCCATAGTAGCCATAAATATAGTGTTGGTAATAACTGTGATTTTATCATACCTTTGGTCTGTTTTAAAAAAGACTTAGAACAACATAGGGCTGCATTTCAAAGTAGCTTGGTTTGTCACTCTTTTTTTTTTTTTTTTTTAAATTTCCCTCAGGGTGGGCTGATAAACTTTGAGAAAAGAAGAAGGGTAAGTAGAGGACTTGGCTGCGACTTTCCATTTCACTTCATCTGGGCATGGAAAAATGAAAAGTGGAGGCTTAAGTTTCTTTAGAGGCAGAAAAAAATTAGCATTTATTGAACATTTACCAGATACTATTGTGCTTGACAAGTTCCTGCATCTTATTCCCCAAGAGCCCTGTGGGGACCAAAGGTGAGGACTCGGAGAGATGATGTAACTTCATCAGGAGTCAGCCGGTGGCACAGACAGGCTTCAGATCCTGTCTTGCTGCTCCAGAGCCCACATTTATTGCCTCGCCTGCCCTCATCTGATTCTTTACAATTAGCCTCAGCAATAACAGTCCATCCTCTTAAGGAGAAAAGGTTCATACGGCTAAGTGACATAGAAGAGTCCATAAAAATGGCTCCCTCTTGTGAGTCTCTTTGCGGGAGGGAAGGAAAGGGTCTCCACGGTTACATGTGGATAGTTACTCTTTTCCTTTCCTGTCAGCGTAGGAAGGGGATTTTCACCATCAATTAGAACTCTATGGATAGTAAGGAGTGGATAGCTTTGTACGGTGCCAAAAAGGACAAACAGAGTTTTGAAATGTGTGGTGGTTGTAGTGTTACAATGATGTATTTAAATAGTTATTCAAATAATTCAAAGGCAGATGAGTGAGCAAAATAATGACTTCACCACATAGTACCCATTGTTCTTTAGTCATTCGTTCATTCTTTCATCCCACAAATACTAATTGCATACCTGACATGGGTCAAACACTGTGATGGGTTTGGGGATTGGACAGGGAAAAAACCAGGGTTCTCTGCCCTCATAAAGTTCCCAAACCAGGAGGAAGGTAGGCACACGAGTAGGCGATTACAATACAATAATAAAGACCTATGATCAGAAGTAGTGGGCATTACAGGAGCACATAGGAGGGCTATCTGTCTCCCACTTGCAGGGTCAGAGAAACTTCCAAGAGGAAATGCCAGCGTTGAAGTTAAAACCAAAACTTCGGGAGCTGGCCAGGCTGAGCTCATTAGTAACAAGATATACTAACCTAGACAATGTGAGTCTTCAGTCCCTGGTAGACTACACTCTCATCTTTAGCATGATGGCAAATGTTCCTTGAGGGTACTGATGAAGGGCTGAGGTCACCGGATAGGAAGTTGATTCCCTTGGAATCTGCTCGACCTACTCTTGTCATGTCCTGTAATGCTAAAACGAAGTCAGTTCTCACTTCCATAGATACCAATCTTTGTCCCTTAGCTTCGGAATAATGGTAGACGGTAATCTCTTTCCTTTCAAGACTAGCATGTTAAACTTTTGGTAAGTTTGATTATAAAACCTAAAGGTAAAGTTTACACCCATTGCTGACTTTTAAAAAATGTCTTTTATTGAAGTATCTAAAGAAGTATAAATAATTTTGGACATAATTATGTGCTTCTTTCTCTTGTAAGCTTTAAAAGACTTAGTAAATGATTTATTGGAGTAGTAAAAACCTAAGGATTCGGGAAATCTAAACATTCAAGTTTATGAGGTCCTGTTGTTTAGATACCAAAACTTACTTACTGAGGGGTAAGGGTGAAGAGGATGGGAGTGGGGGATTGGGAGCTTCCTGATGGAAGTAATTGTTTTCTTTATCACTTAGGAAATAGAAATAAAAATCTTAAATACATTTTAGAAGTACTCAATTAAAAAAAAATAACTTTCCTATCCCGAGAATGAAAATGGAAGGAGTGAAAGAATTGACTGTGGCCTTCGGTGGTAGAAACTAGTTTGGGTTGCTCTGGTAACTTGTTTTATTCACATAAACTGATTTTTCAAGAAGAAAGGAGGATCGACAGTTGAAGCATAAAGACTTCAGAGATTCCGAGAAGTTTTATGAGTTACTCAGCCACTTTACTGCTGAGGAAGGCATTACGTCAGATGCCTCCTATATGGTCTTCTCCATTGTTTACCCTAATGTGGCAGGTTTTCATGTTGGAAGATGTGTATTTGGTTGACTTTGTTATTCACTCTCCCTTTGGTGTTCTCTGTCTGCTTTAGGAATTTGAAGTGATCGCCCAAATAAAGCTCTTACAGTCTGCCTGCAATAGCTATTGTATGACTCCAGACCGAAACTTCATCCAGTGGTTCCAGAGACAGCAGCTGCTAACAGAGGAGGAGAGGTAGGCAGACATTCCGCCCGTCGGGGGACTGCGGTGTTGGCGGGACGAATACTGCATCTGGTGCCTTCACATTTTCGAGGCTGTTGTTACTCAACAACTGTTCAACAGCTAGTGAGCAGCTACTAGGCTCTAGGTCTTCAGTTTGCAAGAGATAATGGTATGGCAGGAAAAACTGAGTTGATGGCATCCAAAGATATGCTTTCAGATTCTCGTTCCACCATTTATTTATCTTTGGAACCTTGAACAAGTCACTGGTTCTTCCTGATCTTTTTTATGCTCATCTATGCAGTGAGGACTAAGTGAAATCATATTTGGGGAAGGATTGGTGACGCGCTCATGGTCAGCATTCCTCACCGCCATCATCATCATTTTGGCATTGTTATTCTTGGACTCTTGGGAAGCTTTCAGTTGGGAGGAGAGAAAGACTCATGAAGAACTGAGGTTTGATGGGTGACTGCAGTGTGACAGGACCTCCTAGCAGAAACAATTCATTTGGCCAAGGATGGGGGAAATAGGGAAGATAATCATAAAGGCATTAACCTTTGGGCTAGGCTGCAATGGAGAGATATTTCACCAGGGCAACTGGAGAAGAAGAGGAGCAAAGGCCCAGGGGTCCTGACGTGCTTGGCATTTGGAGGAATAGTAAGAACTCTAGAGTGGCCGGGACACAAGGGACAGGTTTCAAAAGAAGGCTGACAAGCCTGAAGAGATACGTAACTCCAGTGCCCAGAACGTTGGCTCAGCCAGGGTGTAGTCTTGACCCTGTAGTCCAACGGAGGAGAACCTGCAGACCATACCTAGCCCACTGTGCATTTTATGCTTCTGAATTGTTGGGAAAAAAAGGAACAACACTGTGACACGGGCCAGTTATTTAAAGCTCAAGTGTTAGTGTCCACAGATGAGGTTTTATTGGGACATAACCCCTTCATTTTCATCTTGCTTATGGCTGCTTGCATGCCTTCAAAGCAGAGTTGAATAGTTAAAATAGACCATAGACAATACCTCTGGCTGGTGCTTTACAGAAAACATTTGCTGAGCCCTGTCACAGACCAGGGGATTTCCTTGAGAGCTGATCAGCTGGGAGAGCAAACTTGGCGGCAAAATAAGTAATTTCGCCAAGGAGGCAATCTTTCGGGAAGTACCAAAACTAGTTGTAGTACTAGTGATAGAGTTTGGATTCAAACTCAGGCCTGCCTGGCTGTATGACCTAAGCCCTGGAAGTGGTTTATAACATGGGGCAAATCATGTAACCTCTCCAGGCCTCGCCTTGGTTTCCCCATTTGAAAGATAGATGACTCCTGAGGTCCTTTTCATTCCCCGAGTAGACTGGTCCTGTTCCAGTAGGGCTTTGATTCAGAGCCCTTACCAGCTGGTAAAGACTTTTTCTTTGCCATATAGAAAATAAAGCAGCTAATGCCTGTCTTCACATTTTCTGGTCTGATGATCAGTTTGTGTGAATTAACATTCTGTGTGTATGTCCTTCTCACACGTGGGACATACATACCATGGCTGGTGGTTTGGATCAGAAGGCCCAGGCCCAAAATATCAGCTGTGTTAGTTGACTTTTTAATGATTAAAGCTATCTTGTTAAACATATCCCCTTTTTTCTCTCTATTTATAAAAACTCCTGCAGCTTGAATTATTTTTGGAATAATTCCCATGTCAGTGAGTACTTCTACTTGAACAAATGCCTGGATAAATCTTTAGGTTTAAAAAAGTACACATAACTAGCAACCTAACCCACCAAGCTTACCCTTCCTCATCTACCCAGAGGCAAATACATCTCCTACCTAGAGCTGCAGGTTTTCCTAAAACACATTTCAAGTCGGATAATAAATTCCTCCTGTGCTTATGGAGGTTATATTCACCTGGCACAGAGATGTCTGAATCTGGAGCATTTTAAGTTTAGGATGTTTTGGCAATTAAAAAATCATGTCAATATATCTTTATCAAGAATATAATTGCCTACATCTATTCGCTGAAGATTAGTTTATGAAAGTCTCTTCTTTCATTTTCCTTAGATAGGAAGTACGTTGAGTACAGGCTCACATACAGTCAAGGTAATAGGAGGGAGATAGTAGAGAAGAAATGATTCTTCCCCAGCCTAGCAGTGGGAGAGAGGGATCGGGAAACAGGGTAGAGTCGGGCTCTGATGCTGCCCAAGCGCACGAATCCATGTTTTGGAGGCAGGCAGAACACAACAGCCTCAGTCCATCTGCCAGTGGAGGGCTTCGGGCAGAAGCCACATCTGTAAATCTGTAAATCTGGTCATGAAGTCAGTACCCTCTGCCGCTTGTGATAGAACCACATGGCACATACGTGTTCTCTGCGGAGTTGGCCTCTTCTGAGACAAACCAGTAAGTCGTGTGAATTTAAGCCTGCTCTTAATTCTCCAGCCCTGACCTCACGAGCTCCTTTCTCTCCCCCAGCTATGCCCTCTCCTGTGACATAGAAGCAGCGGCCGATGCCAGCGCCACCTCACCCAAGCCTCGGAAGAGCATGGTGAAGAGGCTCAGCCTGTGAGTGTCACCCTGGAGCCCCAAAAGGGTCCCATTAGTGTGGGGGAGGCAGGGCCTTTGACCACCCAGGCTTCCGGAGCCAGAGCAAAAGTGACATCCAGCCCCCTCACTATTGTGGTTTATAACATGCCATGAGCGCAGCCCATTTCCAAATCCATCCATCCTTCCCCACTGCTATCTCTGGCATGAACCACTACCATCTCCTACCTGGGCCACTCCAACAGCACCCCGACTGGCTTCTGGCCCCACCCCTGCCCCAACAATCCATTCTCCACCAGGTAGTTTGGCAGCCTCTTCAAATGCACACCAATAATTATATACTTCCTATGTTATTAGTACATCATGCTCACTGTCCGCCTGATCTTGCAAGTCATACTAGCTGTTTCCTCCAGTGGTGTGCAAGCCACTGAGAGCAGGAACTTTGTCCATCTTACACGTGGCTGTATGCCGTGCTCAGAGCCAGGCGTTTGGGAGGCCGCCCATGGCTGATGTCATAATACCCACCTTCCTTTGCATAAAATCCAAAGTCCTTACCGTAGCCCTCAAGACTTCAGGATCTGCGGTGTCACCCCAGCCATGCACACCCATCCTACACCTGTCTGGCCTCATCTGTCCTGCTCACTGTGCTCTGCACTCCAGCCACCAGACCTCTCTGAACGCAGGAGGCATGTGCTCATTTTGTGCATGTGTATGTGCCTTTTCTCCTGCTTGGAACACTGGATCCCAGTTAGCCAAATGGCTCACTCCTTTTCTTCCTCCAGATCTCGGCTGAAATGTCACCTTCTCAGTGAGCCTTTCTTGACCACCCTACTCAGTACGATAACCGACCTGCCCAACCTGTCCTTAACACCTTACCTTCACCTGTTCTGACTTTCGTCATTGCATTTAACTCCAACTGACATATGTTGCATGTGTCTGTTTATTACCTGGAATGTAAACTCTGTGAAGGCAGGCATTTATGTCTGTGTTTATTCATTGCTGTATCTCCAGAGTCTAGAATGGTGCCTGGCATGTTGTAGATGTTTAACAAATAATTATTGAATGAATAAATTGGTTCATGTGCCAACACCCCTCTAGAACAATACGTGTACTTCTCATCCAGTCCCCAAAATAACCTAAGTGGCAGGTTATACTGACTTTATAAACCAGGTAAGTAAGGCACAGACAGGGTAAATAATATGCTGGTTATTGGAGAATCTAGATTCAAACCCAAGATTTGGCTCTGGAGCCAAGGTTATAACCCTTTACCTGTTGCACAAATACTGCCTCTTGGAAAAATATTTTCTGAAGAAAGAGGATGGACAGATGGAATGGGAGATAAAAAGTGGAGGAAGGGAGATGAGGGAGGGAAGGAAGGAGGAGAAAGAAAAGGTGAGCAGGGAGGGAAGAAAGCAAGCGAGGCTGTTAGTTCAGTTGACCCTGTGCTTTGAATGGAGTGTTGTCTGTGGAAGAGCCTTAACTTGGTCTCCATCGTGAAGCTGATCTCTTAGACCTTAGATTCTAGAAGACCTGAGACTAATGAGCTTAGTCCAGGGAACCAGGATTATCATTTGATTAATACAGTTGTGCTTCTCTTTTGAAGGCATATACCTGTGTCTGATCTTTTGGGTGACACAGTCTACACTGGCCAGGAACGAGCACGAGCAGTGAGGGAAGGGAGACTGGAGTTTCCGTGGCTGAGAGGCTTGGGACCGTGCTGGCCTGACAGATCCCAGCTCCAATGGTTACCTGCCATTTGGGAGGCGAGGATACTGAAGTCCCCCTCACTGGGGTGTTGTCAGAACTCGTGGGATGTAGCACTCGAAACAGTGTTTTGCTCCCAACAGATGCCTGAAAAGCTACCGCTATGTTTTTGTGCAAAAAACTTTCTGATACTATCTTTTTGAGTCTGGCTTCTTGTTTTTGCTTTCCGTGGTCAGGATTCTGTTTCTATGCTGTTTTGTTATTTCCCAGCACTGTCTCTCCATCTATCTGAGTCACACCGAGACATGGAGGCAGGAATGGCACATGAATCTGGACATGGTCATATTCCCAGTATGGCATATAGAGGCCCTTTTGGGGTGCGCATGGCATGGTCTCCTGGTAGGAGCAGCTGCTCAGGCTTCTGCCTGCTGTCAGGTGATAGGAGAAAGTTAAGGATTAGGTTGGAGCATGTGATTTCATAGAAAGAATTTGGAAGGTAATCCTGATGTCTTGACATCCCTCTTTGTTCAGATGGTGCTCTTTGTAAAGGCTGATTCTAGCTCAGTGCTGGGCATCTCTGACCTGGAAGCAAGGTACTCCTTCCCTGAGTACCTTCTGAAATACACTCCATCCTCTTGGATAATGGCCTCATCAGCCCAGGCCTTCCTGAACACTAGGTTTATGGGATTTTCTGTAGTGTCTTGCTATCTTTTCATCGCTGCACTTACAGGGGAAATGAACTCTGGAGATAACCCAAGGGCCTGACCAAGGCCCGTCAGCTGGTAAATCGACACCTGCTCTGCAAATCAGGCTTCCAGTTGGTGAGCAGAGGAACGTAGGGCACCTTGTTTGTCCTCTCAGCATCAGAAGGATTGGAACGTTCTGGACCTGCTGTGGCAGTGGGAGGTCCGACAGGCAGATGCGACCCTAAGTGCGCTGCGCTTGCCCTCTTGCTCTTCCGCCCCTGCCCTCAGTGGCCATGGCTTACTCTGCTTGTCTGCTACTCTCTCCAGCCCAGGTGTCCATATTTATGTGCTGGGTGCTCTAGCATCCCTGGGTCCTCTCTCTGCACCAGCTCTGGCAAGTGCACAGCCTCTGTGAGGTCACTGACGTGGAATCCAGGTGAGGCAGGCCTGTCGGCGGGTGGCACCCTGCACCAAGTGTGGTGGGCACCCAACGCTTGCCTCTCTTTACTGAAATCCTGCTGAGGTGCTTGAGTTTAACCCTGGGTATCTATAGAGTTTGAACATTTATTATTAATAAAACAAGTTATATTGTTCCCCATCTTAAGTCTTGTACTCCTAAGGCTGTTTTATATATCATTTATTTTCAAAAGATTTTATGATATTAACATTTTTACAAATGTGGAAAATGTACTTCTTGCTCTCCCCACTTTTAATGACCCACTCTCCAAAGAGGTTGGAGAGAATTTTGAAGCCTTAGGAGAAGGAGTACCTTGTTTCCAGGTCAGAGATGCCCCCAGCATGGAGCTAGAATCAGCCTTTACAAAGCAGAATGGCCACATTGAATTGTACAGATGGAAGAACCTTCACTTTTTGGACAATTTAGTTTTCAGTCGGAGACTCTCAGCTAATGGGCTGAGCACCACCAGTTCACAGCCTTGACCCATCTACCTTGGAATCCATGGAGAAGCCAGCCAGTGGTGCTGTGTTCTTCTCTGCGAATTGTGAGCAGAGTTTAGCTCTCCTCCTATAGCCTTTCCAGTGTTGGAGGTTCAAAAAAGGTAGTGACAGGGAAGGCGTGTCAAGAGGTGATTTGATGGAGTGGGAGGAGCTAGAGCAGAGATTGACTTCGGGTCTTGGAATTCGAGCTTGTAATTCCTAAAATATTTAATTAAAAAATATCAAGCCCTTCCTCATTGTTTCTACCACTGTTATTTTATACAGTCAAAACCCATTGGGATTTCACCCCATTTGCTAGTTTCCTTATATGCCACGCCTTCTGCCGTCTCACCCCTTCTCTCTTTCACTGCCCCTTTTGGGGTCGTCTGTCAATGGTAAACCCTCCCAGTCTTTGTCTAAGAAAGTCGTTACGTTCCCTAGCTTGTGGGATTATTTAGATGGTTATCAACTTCAAGGATGACTGTTCTTTCCAGGCAGCACTGTGCTCCACGTCTTCTGACTCCTGCTTTTGAGATGTCTGCCATCTAATTCCCGTTCCTCTGTATCGTACCTCCCTCACTGTTGCTTGTAAGAACTTCTTTTGTCTTCGGAACACCATTATGCAGTTCAAGTGGGGACTTAGTCTTGTTTATCCTGTTCGGCATGTGGTTCCTGATCTGAGGATTCACGTGGTTCATTCTGGAATCTTCGCAGCCACCATCTCTGTGATATGGTCCCTCTTCTCCTCTCAGTTTTTTTCTGGAACTCTTCCTACACACAGATGTTTCATACCCCCCTCTTGTTTTTCACATTTTTCTGTATTGATACCTATTTCTGAGAAACTCAGATCTGTCATCTAGTTCACAGTTTTTCTCTTCAACAGTTATTCAATCCTTCTGTTGAGTTTTTAATTTAAATCACTGCATCTTTCACTCTAGAAGTGAATTTTTTTTCAAATTATCTTTCCTTCTTTTGTCATAATATCTTTCCCTTAACTCCTGTTTTCAATTTCTTATGTCTTTAATATTTTTAAATGTATTTATTGTATAGCTCGGCCCATTGTAGACACTCAAATATTTCTTAAATGAATGAAATCGGTTTCTTTCCGACAGTTCTTGTATCTAAAATTCTCAGGAGTCTAAGTCTGCAGTTTGTTATGCCTGTTGGTCTCTCTTTGGGTGGGATAGTTCACTGTGTTTATTTTGTCATTTTGTATTGTGAGTCCATAGTTATCAAGGAATTCTAGGCAGCCTGGGTTGAAGGCATATTTCCCCACAAAGATTTTTCTTTTAAATTCTAGTTTCTCCAGGAATGTCACTGACCTGAGAGTTTCTAGTTCTCAGACCACATAGGCAGCAAATCAAAGTGAGGTGCTAGCCAAGACCACACATGATTTCAGGGGAGACATTTTTCTTTTACCCAAGCTCAGGCCAAGACAGATAAGTGTGCCTCTTTTCTTCCTGTGCCAGTAGGAGGACATTTTTCTAGCCCATCTTCTTACAAAGGGTACAGCCGTTGGAGGGTCCTGGCTCTCGCTAAGGGGTTTCGGTTCCAACTCCCCACCTTATATAAACGGAAAGCCCTCACCACTACAGGCTGGGTACATCCTGAAAACCGTGTCCCTGGTTTACCAGTGTTAGTGCCTCCCACTCCCCACCCAGAGCAGCTGCAGAATTAGCTCACATGTTTCTGATTTTCAGTTCCCTTTTCATTTCTGGCCTGTAGGGATTTTCCTTATCATCTTGCAGGCACCACTTTAAAAAGAACTTTTAATGTTTCTTATCTAGTTGTTTTACAGTGCAGGGGGTTAGGTTTTTCACTTCATCAGATTGTTGGAAACAAGTTTTGCTCTTTGATTTCTTACCCAAAGCAATGCTGGCCTTTGCCTCACAGAGTCCATCTTATGGTGGGAAGTGACAGGGACATGGCAGTGGTATTCTGATCCTGCCAAAGAGGTCTATAAGCTTACAGAATGGAGACCCATTGACCTAGAAAGACCTCAGATTAGTGTGGCCCCTCATTCAGCTAAGTAACCTCTGTGTTCTTTGAGGCTGGACAAGATGCTCACTGTGGTCTGCTAGACACTTTATAGCCAATGTTTTCTTAAAATAATAGTGACAAGGCATGCAAGATTGAGAAAACATCAAGGAGTTAATTCACATAAAACATTTGCTTAATCGTGGGTTCCAGATTTGTGAGAGCCCCAATGCCTGGTGTCATGTTCCCTGCAGACTGTTTCTGGGGTCGGACCTTATCGCCAGTAGTACTCCCACCAAGGAGCAGCCCAAGTCCACCGCCAGCGGGAGCTCTGGCGAGAGCATGGACTCGGTCAGTGTGTCATCCTGCGAATCCAACCACTCCGAGGCTGAGGAGGGCTCCCTCACTCCCATGGACACACCTGATGAGCCTCAAAAGAAGGTATATACTTAATCCTGGTCCATAATCCTAATGCAGGCATCTGACATAGTGTTTGCCACACAAGGAATGTCTGCTTTCAAGTTTATCACTCCGGAGTATTTTGAAAGTCATGTTTTTAAGATGCGTCAAAAGCACAGTCCAATCTGGTGACCCATTTCTTACAGATCTAAAGGCAATGAATGTGTTGTTTCTTTAGCTTAGACTTTGAAATACTGTTCTGTACCCACATCCAAAGGCAACCGGAGCATTGTGACTTCTAACATGAGCTCTGTTTAGGAGATGTAGGATTTTTTTAGAAGGAGCAAGAAGCAAGAAACAGAGATGTGCCTGCTTCTTGGTGTCATATCTTGTCTTAGCCATACTTTTACCATAATAATGTTACATAGCAAACCACTCTAAAACCTACTGACTTAAAACAACAACCCTTTATTCTCTCTCATGAATCTGCAAGTTGGTTTATTTTGGTTACATTTGGCTCTGGGCCTGGATTTGGTCTGGGTGGGCTCTACCTGCCTCTCACTCTTTTTGGAGTAATGGGCTACTCAGGGCATGCTCTTAGCATGCTAAGACAAATGGGCAAGAGGTCAAGCCCACCCCCACAAGCACATACCAAGCCTTTAATTGGATCATATCTACCAACATTTTATTGGCCAAAGCAAATCATGTGGCCGAATCCCACATAACTAAGTAAGGAAACCACACTTCTAGTGGGAGGGGCTCCATGTTTCCTAAAGCAAGGCGATAATCTCATTCTCCTTGACTTGACACACAGTCACAGGACAGAGGGCATGCATGTAGAGGGGGAGGGTAAGCAATCGGTAACAGTACCACATACCATGTCCAAAACAATGAAAGTGGTTGAGAGATGAATGAAGGCACTCCCTTAGGGAGTTTCCATTTTCCATGACTGCATAAATCAATAAAAAGAAAACAAAAGATCCTTCTTAATCTGCACACAGATCTGCTTCAATCTGTTGGTCAAGGAACATGGATCAAAGACATGACCTTGGACGTGACTAGCACAGGTCATTTACAACATTTGGGAGAGGTTTTAGGCTGGCTGAACTTGCTGTGTAAATGACTTCTGGCCCCTTAGCTTATGTTTAGGCCAGTGAGGAAGATGTGGGTTAAGTCCTCTGTTTGCTTTGTGTCTGCTGTTCTGCAAGGGATTTATGAGCCGTTTCACATTGTGTTACAAACAGCAGCGGCAATCCAGGAATCCTCGCATGACCTTGACACAAAGTAGCCAACCAGGGAGGGACATCGACTCAGGACCCATCAGACTGAGATGACTCAGCTGCTGCCCCAGCTGAATTTCTCACTTTTCTACTTTGACATGCAGGGGAACATCCTCCAAATGTTGAAGGAAAAGCCCTATGAACCCCTACAGACTAGCAGTCCTCGCAGGCATGTTTCCTGAATCAAGGCCATAATCTCATTCTCCATGACCTGACACACAGCATTGAACTTGTCAAAATCTGGAGTGAAGTCTCATTAGGCACCTTTTGACAGGTTCTTAGGCTTTGAGTCCCTTTCCTGATGATGGATATTGTACAACAGTAACAAATAAGGCCTTGCCCACATCTTTCTGGGATTTCTCTCTGCCCAGGAAGAGAGGGACTCATTCCACCCGTCATCACCTGGCTAGTGCACTGGACATGTGCACAGAACACAGACCATCCCTGTCAAAACTACACAGAAGCCCGGTGTGTGTCGTCTGCACAACCTTTGTTTCATCCTTTCTGCCTCCTCCCTTTTTTGCACCCGTGCTTTAATTTTTTGCATAATAATGAATTTTTATTCTTTGGATGAACTTTTCTCAGCATCACGAATTTCTATCAGTTTAAAAAGGAGAAATTGACTTGGGTGCCAGTAGTATCTGGGATATCAAATCCCCAGACTTCACGTGGAAGGGCCTCGGTTCCCCAGCCCAGTAGCATAGCTGGACCTGGATGGCCTCCATAGTCCCTTCCTGCTCTGAGATCACGTGGCCCTCCAGACGGACACCCTGCCTTTCCCAGTGGCTCTACCGGGAGGTTGCTCTTTTTTTAGAGAAGTGTAATTTGCATTCTTTTTTCTTCGTTCCCCTGATCATGATTTCTACATTTATTTTCACACTTGCTGCCCATAGTAAATTCCCAATAAGAATTTGGAGGCTCATCAGCTAGTCTGTTTAGAGGTGCTATAGTCCAGGCTTTGCCAAGGCTTTATCTTCATTATAAATGTTACTAAAATTATGGAAAATCTAACAGAGGAAAAAGGATTTATATGGAGAAAAAAGAGGGTAAAAACCTGAAGCAGTAATTGGAAAATGGGCCCCCTTGGCTATTTATGGCACACCTGCAAACAAAGGTGACACAGTTGTGATTTGTCACCATCAGGTAGCCATCATGTTGGGCTACAAGATTGATTCACTTTGAAACATAAGAAAAAAAAAATAAGCCGTATTATAATAGACCCACAGTTAGAGTCCTACATATGAGAGATGTCATCTCAGCTTGCTGGCTCTAATTAAACTAATCACGCAGCAGACTTTATAGTTATGTCAAAGAAGGAAGCTCATAGGAAATAAAATAGAGTAGACTTCATTTTACTTGGAAGCCAGCTAATCTGGAAGCTGAATTTCTGCACTCGGTTTCCATAAGGTAGACAGGTATGAAAGAAATGAATATGTTGTTTATTTTTGAAGTGACTTCAAGAATATTTTATAGTATTATGTGGTATAATTTAGCTTATCTTATTCTTAGAAATTTCTTGTCATTTTCTATGGCAAGAATTGATATTGAAAATTATGCAATTTAATGATTTTTTTGGGAACACCACCTAGTGAGTTTAGGGCAGCCACTTTCTTCAGCAATTGGGACTGCACGTATGGTAACTATGTTGTTAATCAGAAAAGCATATTATAGCGCCTCATTCCTTAATTATGCTTGATGTATAACATGAAAAATACAACATACAGTTGGTTCTAGAAGCAAATCTAGAAAGGCAGAGCTGCTCAAAGATTGTTCCCTTCGGCAAGTTACTCATTTCCTCTGCATCTTATTTCTCTCATCTTTATACTGCTCTACATTTGTTCACAAGATAGCTACAAGACCAAAATGAGCTAAGATACATAAAAGCTCATCACAAACATCACAATGCTAAACATTGCTGAGGTAATGGTATACTATGTTCATTTACCACCTTAGCATCAACTGCAGACTTTGCCCTGCATGTAGTGCTTGCTCTGTAAACCTGGCCGCGGGAGTCAGGAGACTTGGGAGGGCGTCCTGGTGTCACTGCCAACAGTTTTCCCTCTGGCCTCAGGCTCCTCAGCAATAGAAAGGGAAAGGGCCAGTGTTCCCTCCCAGCCTTTTTCCAGAATGAATATTCCATGCAAAACTCTCTAATCCCTGGTCATAATCTTAGAAACTTCTAAAGTACAGACATTTCTCTCCTGCTACAAAATATGTGGGTGAAGTAGTCAGGATAGACATGACCTTTATGGGCATATTAAGAAACATTTCCACTCGAGGCAGTAAGACTGGATAAACCGGTGGTTAAGACTTCCCTGTAGCCCTGTAAGCATGTGACTGCATTCAGTCCATATTGCCTCTAATTGTGGTATCTGCTGCCATCTGCTGGTTAAGATCCTTCAAAGCAGCTAAAACTAGGGAAATGAGAACTGTGTGTCCATCATCACGTGGGTGTAGAGTAGATCAAGTTCTGAGTCAGTGATAGGCCTCTGCTGTCAGGGTGTTTACCCCAGTGACAAGGTAAGTGTGTGCTTTAAGCTGTTTTGGAGGAAATGGCTGAAGTTTATGAGTCTCAACACCTATTTCTGCTGTTGGAAATTATGAAGTGCACCATTGGTCAAGGTTCTCTTTTAACAGTTCCATTTTCTTCGGGGGTGTTTCCTCTTCCAGCTCTCCGAGTCCTCCTCGTCATGTTCCTCTATCCATTCTATGGACACAACTTCCTCAGGGATGTCATCTTTGCTCAATCCTCTCTCCTCCCCTCCATCCTGCAACAACCCTAAAGTCCACAAGCGCTCCATCTCTGTGACGTCCATTACCTCGACAGTGCTGCCTCCCGTTTACAACCAACAGAACGAAGACACCTGCATAATCCGCATCAGCATAGAGGACAACAACGGGAACATGTACAAGAGCATCATGGTAAGGCACGCAGACTGACGCCCCGGGACACGCACAGTGTCAGCATATCCATATGCAGGCACACAGAAGGGGGTACCAAATGAATAAATACCAAACTCTCCCTGGGTATAGACCATAGCGTATTTCTATAAAAATCTTCCTACCAGCAGTGCCAAGAGGGTGTAATTTTTACATCTTGGAAATTTCTAGAACATAATCATCCAGGTCAGTGTCTCCCTTTCCAAAACTGTCAATTTGGATGACTATATAAATGTACCATGCCACTGATGCATACCTTCTCGGAAGTCTTGCTGTGGAAGTAGATGTCTGGATTTATAATTGAACTGCTGTGCATTCTTAGCAATGTCCTCCATGATGGCAAAATTTTCTCCTTTAGTCAATTGGAATCAAATTTAGTAAAATGGATGATCAAGCTGGAAATACAGTTTGAGTCCGCAAGGACCTATGTTTATAAATAAATGAGACTGACCTTTTTGAGCTTCTTGTAAAAGCTGTTTTTTTTTCTGAGCACAGTTTCAGAAATGTTTTGCATAAAGGCAGTCACTTTGGAATACATACAGCACCTGTCCTGGTAATAACCTTGGGTGTGTAAGGTCTGGTGTGCTTATTACAAGAATAGACTCCTTAGTTTATAGGACATTTCATGCACCGGAAAGCAGATTCTCCTTTGCAGTAAAATCCCACAGCTACTTCTACGTTTCTTCTCATCTTCATCACCCGCCTTCTTTGAGGGCACACTGACTGCTTTCAAGCTGGGCACCGAACAGGACATGTGCAGTACGGAGGCACCGTCTTTGGCATTCCAAGGAAAAGCTTTACTGAAGAGCTCATTGAATCTATAAGCCCCTCCTTGAGCATTAGTTGGGTCCTAGTCATTGGGCCAGGCTTTGGGAATAGGGAGCCCCAAGAGACATTTCCCTCTTTGAGGAACTTATAATCAAAAGAGAGTTTATAAAGTGTTACTCAAAATGTACTAAATACTCTAATGAGCTCACATCAGATTGAAGGAGTTTGTGTCAGTCCAACAGGCAACAGGGTCTTGTTGAGGCATTTAAGTTAGGATCAGATTTGTTCATTAGAAAAATAATTGGCATTGTGAAGACTTGAAACTGGGGTACAGGGGGTGGGGGATGGGGAAGCAAGTTAGGATCTGTTGTCATCCTCCACGTAGGAGACGACAGGGTCGTGTGGTCTGGAGACAATGTGGATTTTTGGGAGATGTTTATAAGGTAGAATTGTAGAATTCTTTCATTAGCTATTAAAAGAAAAAGAAGGGATGTGAACTCAACAGTCTAAGCAGGTTTATTGCTAAACCTGAGAGGGACCTCTCTGTTCTGGCAAGTAGGACAAAGAAGGCGTCTCTTACAGGCTAAGAGGCTTTTCACGGCCAGATTTTTTGGCAGGTTTTTCAGGGGATGGGTCAGGGGAAAGGTGGGCTTGTGGCCTGCTGCCGTGTACTCCAGAAAATGCTTGTAGCCTAAACAAAATGAAACCTAGGTCTCTCTGAGATGGCAGGTGGGCTTATTCAAAAAGGGGGGACTCCTGTCCAGCTCTATCAGCTATCAGCTCTGTGGGGATGTGGAAGAGAGGACTAAAGGCTGTCCAGGCAGCCTGGTGGGTGATTCTCCTATCAAGTGAAATCTGAACCACGGGAGGAGGAGGTACGGGGGGTATTTAAATTGAAAGTACCAGTAGGACATCCCAATGGCATTGCCTAACATGGGTTCGTGCAGGGCTGGTGCTGGGCTCCAGTATTGGGAGTCACCCAGCCCCACTGGGTGGATGTGGTCGTGCAGGCAGTGAGTGTGGGCCGAGACAGAACTAACTGGGGGTGACTGAGCCGCTGATACTGGTGTGTTGGAGCGGTGGGAGTCGCAGGGAGCCAGAGTCATGACTGTTCCGTGTTTTCAGCCTCGTTCCTCCATGGCTGCTCTGACACAGTGGCCCAGGAGGTAAGCTCCTCGGTGGGACTCTCCCTTGTCTCTGGACTGAAATGAACTAAGTCCTGATGCATGGGACAGTGTGCATGCATCTGTAAAACAGCTGAGCCAAGAAACCGGACACAGAAGATTCCAGGCTACAGGAGAGGAGTCTGTTCTTTCAAAAACAGGCCAAGCTAGGCTGTGGCATTAGAAAACCAGTGTCAGGGAAGGGGCGCAGGGGTCTTTGGCATTCCCACTTTACATAGTGCATGAAGGTGACTCCCAGTGTCAGTATCATGCCATTTGCTATAATAGCCACTAGCCACACGTGGTGATTGAGCATTTGAAAGGAGAATCTTCTAATTGAGATGTGCTGGGAGTATAAAATGTACACCAAATTTTGACAAGTTAGTAAAAAAAAAAGAAAGGGTGTAATATATCTCATTAACAATTTTTGTATTGACTATATGCTGCAATAATATTTTGGATGTGTGGAATAAATAAAATATAGTATTAAAATTAATTTCCCTTTTTAAATGTGGCCACAAGATATTTAAAATTCCAAAGTAGGCTCCCTGTATATATACGTACTGGACGGTGCTGGCTCAGAACGTCAGCCGAAGGCTGCGTGATTCAGCTGTTAATGCTAGTCATGATCATCAGTTGCCCTCAGAAGCTTTTGTGGTACAAAGTAAGGAACACTCAGGGGAAGCCCTTCCTCCTGCCTTTGTTTGACAAGCTGTCAACTTAACCTACCCTAAACCACCCTCACCCAACACTGTCCTCCAAGTAGGGTGCTTTCTCCTCGGCCCTGTGCTCTAGGTCCAGTTCGAGCCAGCCGTGGGGCTGTACCCTGTAGACTTATCAAAACACACGTTTTCCTCCTCTGGAATTCTGTGTACATCTATTTCTTCCTTATAAATGGATATGCCAGCTGTTCGGGTAATGGACGAGCGAGCAAGGTGTAAGCACTCTGTCGCAGTGCCTGTTGTTTATTGAATCACAAATACCAGCTGCTGCCCCAGATCAGAGGGAGACGGCGAGGCCCTGCCACCCTCAGGCTCACAGTGACAGTCGCTTGGAGGAAATTAGACTTCTCTTTCGGCAGTCTCTCCTCTTACCTCCAGGTGAGAGCTGCCTTTATCTTTAAGTAAGAATAATGTGTGTTTTCTTTCAACTTTAAATAAATCACCCAAGGGATGGTACATAAATCAGCCTTTCTTTCCTGTTGCCCTGGGCACCCACAAATAGTTAGCTGATAGGCAGAGATAAAGGGAAGAAAGTCAGAATTGGGGGTGAAGGGAACCTTTACTTATGTTTTTATTAAAAAGTTATACTTTAAAAATTTTTTTATTGTTTTTAAACACTTAGAAGCTGCTCTTTGTTGAAGTAAAATTTACATGTAACTATAAAGCCAGATCTTAAGTGTTGAGTTCTTTGAGTTTTAATAACTACGTATCTGTGTAACCACCCCCCCAAATCTAGATAAAAAATGCTTTCGTGCTCTCAAAATTGCCTTTTGTCCCTTATCCCCCCTTACCCTGGAAGGGTAGTTAAAGTTACTTTTCTAATGCCACAGGTTAGCATGGCCCATTTTGGAAAGAATAGATGCCTACAGCATGTAATCTTTTGTGTCTGGTTTCTTTTGCTCCACATGGTGTTTGTAAGATTCATCCATGTGTCTCTTGCATGAGTCCGACTTTAGTTCCTTTTAGCTGCTGAGTTAGTTCTATTATGCATATACTACAGTTCATCCCTTCCCTTTGCCACATTGGCAGAGATTCAGGTTAATTCCAGCTTTTGGCTATTTTGCATAAGTCTGCTACAAACATTTGTATACAAGTCCTTTGATGGACATATGTTTTCATTTCTCTTGGCAAATACCCAAGAGTAGGATTGCTGATCACTTGTGCTTTTTGAAATGATCCACGTGCAGAACTGTGGCCATTACTGACCCACAGGTTGTAACCAGTGTCACTAACAGCAGCTGAAGAGGTAAGGACCATTTTGGACAGGATTGAAACTGCTGTAGATTTCTCACAATACCCTCATATTTATTTTTTCATCAGCACCTCAATCAGTGTAGGGAAGATAGGCAAGACAAGCCTTCTGTCAACTTAACCTACCCTAAACCACGCCACGTTGTGGCTCTGATAGAGGAGGTGACCGAGACGTAGGCTAACCGTGATCTTTGGGCGACTAAGGGTGGGGTCAGGACTAGAACGCAGGAGTCCTGGCTCGTGGTCCTGTTCTCATTCCCTGGCCATTTCTCCCAGAAAGGCACTAGTAACAGTAAGAAGGTCAAGAGACCTCTTTCAGGACACATGAAGCTAAACACTTTATTAACCCATGCATTGTCTTCCCAGCTGACAAGCCAGGATAAAACTCCCGCTGTGATCCAGAGAGCAATGCTGAAGCACAACCTGGACTCGGACCCAGCAGAGGAGTACGAGCTGGTGCAGGTCATCTCGGAGGACAAAGGTGGGCACCTGCTCCTGCTTGCTGCAGGTTGCCCCCATCTTAGAAGAAAATGGATACAATGTCTTTTTTATAATACAACCCCTTGGGTGCTGGTGGGGGATTATCGTACCTGGTGGGGAAGCATGCCACCCCCTCACTTGTAGAAGTAAGCATGGCAAGCTGCCCCCCAGAGCAATACCTGTTTTTCCCACACTTCTGCTGAGCATTCCTCCTGCCCATTCTTTGTAAACTTCTCCTCAAGCACTCTTCTAGAAGGAGGTGTCCCTCCGTGTCAGGAGGTGCAGGGTAGACGGGAGGGCCAATTGGGTCTCTGCAGGTGGTCACACACCTTCTTTATCCAATCCTGTGTGTGAACCTAAAATGTAGCAGTTCTGCAATAATTTCTCATTGTTTCAGTTACTCATTTATAGGAAGCTTATACAAATTTATCTTCCAATTTGTCTGTATTCGTGGTTGATCTCCAAGTAGCAAAAGTTTCTAACACCGGAATCTGAATATTCTTTACCTCACATTTACTTGTGCAAGAACTGATAATCTGTGAAATGCTTCAACATGCCGAGGAACCCATTATTTAAAGAAATCCCTTTTATGGAAACTCGGAGCGAATAACCACCCTGAATGTAACTATTTGCTAATTTGAATTGGGGTTGTATTTGTTGAGAGGAGGAGATGATCTGGTAGCTTGTCTATACCCTGTCCCATCGTAGGAAGAGACTCAGCACAATAAGCCGCTTTTCTAAGTACAGAAGGAGCAGCAAATACCATTGACCAAGGCCAGGCCCATCGGCTGACAGACCAGCACTGTTGCAGCACGAGTGTCTTAATGCAGGGCTGTTCACCAACAAGCAGCCCCATATAAAGAAAAAGAAGAACTACACAAGCTGAGGGTTTGGGGCTTCATCGTCCACCTGGCCACCATATCATCCAGGCCTTCTCTTGGACCCAGTGGAGAACAGCTGAAATTAGAGCAGCACCTTTTCCTAGAGTTGAAAAGCTCTGAGAAAATTGTTTTTCAGTGACTTCTTAGAAGTTTCTCCTTCAGTCAGCTGAGCCCTAGATGTGGGGCAAACGTTTCTCAGCTGTAGGACGTCCTTCCCTGCAGTTACAGGGAAAACGCTAAGCCTGAGAAGTGGTTTCGTGAGCCTCACCATGTTGCCCACAAAACAGTGTCAAGGTGAGGCCAGGGGGGCTGCAGACCCCTGAGGCCAGAGGGGCAGCCTGGGCCCACCAGCAGCGTGGTCCTAGGGGGGCTGCTTGACCCCTTCAGGCCTCAGTCCTTAATTAGTTAAATGGAGACACACAGGGTGACTGTGAAGATAATAGGAGAAAACGGGCCCAAAAGTGCTTTAGAGATCTGCTAAGTGACATGTAGCTGTGAGGTAGACTATTACTTACCCGGGAATATGTGAAGAGGAAACGACGGGGGTCACTTTAAGGGAGTTATTCTTTGTGGAAAATTTGTGCAAAATGTGCTGGAGTCACTTAGAACCGGACCACATCAGTCTCGCTTTAGAATTACAGTATTTGAAGTGAGCTAAGCCCGACTTGATCCAGTTCTGCCATCAGATGTGTCTCCTGGTTGCCTCCCCGACTGCACTGCCACAAAGCTAGACTTGCACATTTTACCATTTCTTTTTCCAGTTTGATTTTTTAGATAATATCACCTTTGAGTGCTAAATAGTATACACCTTCTTTGAAAAATAAAAATGAATAAAAGTAACTTTGCTTAGTATTTAAAATTATACTTGAAATAGTCCTTGTTCAGAAATTGCCACTATCTAGTTGGGATCATTGAAGTAAACAATAGTTCAAATGTTAACATACACCCTATCTTATATGGAGGCTGTTTACTATTAAATGCAAGCTCTTGATGAAGCGAGGCCTCAAATGAAATAAAATACCAAAAATTTGACTTGGGAGTGCATCAAAAACTATTCCAATATTCCAAGAAAAGACATCTAGAAAATGTTGTGGATTTTCTAACTTTTTCCCATGTTGTTGGCTTCTCTAGTCTCTGAGAAAAGCCGCCTGCTGTACTAGGGGACAGAGAAAAGCTGGGCTCTCAGCCCAGTGCTGCCATTTTCTGGCTGTGATCTTGGGAAGGTCATTTAACTTCTAGCCTGTTTCCTCCTGTACTTTCTTTCAGCTAAAATATTCTGCATTTGAACATTTAGTTTATTGATTGAAGTTCTGAGATCATATCGCACTTGGTGTTTTAAAGTTGGGATTGAGAAACAATTTTATTGGAACCAGCTTTGGTCGTTGTCTGGTTCGTTTCTCATTCCAGGGACAGAGGGCCACCCCAGCCTTGTGCCTAAGCAAAATTCCTACCCACCACTGTCGGTGCTGGGCTGACCTACACAGTTGACTGCCTTCTCTTTCCTTATCTTTTTTAGAACTCGTGATCCCAGACTCAGCAAATGTCTTTTATGCCATGAACAGCCAAGTGAACTTTGACTTCATTTTACGCAAAAAGAACTCCCTGGAAGAGCAAGTGAAACTGCGTAGCCGGGCCAGCTTGACATTACCCAGGACGGCTAAACGGGGCTGCTGGAGCAACCGACACAGCAAAACTACCCTCTGAAGGGAGGGGCCGGCGGTGCTCGCCGAGGTGGGGGCACCAAGAACAGGCCATGGTGAGTGCAGCTACCACCCAGTGGTAGAGGGTCATCAGTGAAGTCAGCAGATACTTACTGAGTACCTCTGGTGTGCAAGGCTCTATGATGGGCATTGCGGGGAGGTCAGAGGTGAATTTGCCATGAAAGGGATGAAGGATTCACTGATTCTCTTTGAGCTGTTTGAGACTGAAATGCAAAATTACCCACATGTGTAAATAATATATGTACACATATTTGGTATGTATGTGTATATATATAAATATATGAGGGACTTATGGGATATTCTGGACTATGGAAAAACAAATTTGCACAATGGCCTGGGAAGTTGAGGTCACTTTTTACAGGGAAATAGAACTGAGAACCTAATTCCATACCCTCCGAGTAATTGGAAGCAGCCCTGGGAATACAGAGTGTGCTTTGCGCCAGTATTACAAGAAGTCCAAACTATTTTTATAAAGAGAGAGGGTTACTCTCTCAATCAAGTGCCACCAGAGAAGAACAACTGTAGAGGCTGGAACTGCCACTGGCGGAATGAAAGGCCACTTTGGAAAGGGTTTGGATGAGCCAGTGGCTTTCAACTTCTGCCTGCATCTGCATTTCTGCCATCCCAGGGAGGGCAAGGACGACCTTCAGAGGCCCACCAGTCGGTCTGGCCCACTGGCCCAGCCGTCGTGACATCGCTGGCATCAACCCAAGCCCACTTTGATTTCTGGCGACCACATTGTGTTTCTGTTCCCCCTGCCGCAAAGAACACATCACACGCATTATTGCATAGATAGCCATGTTCTTTGGTTATTTATCAGCCCAGAAGAGAAAACGCAAAAGAGTGGTGACTCATTTGGACCCTGTTTGTGTTGTAGTGCCACGACTTCATTGCCTTTTCGGACTGCCTTCTTTTGCATGTAAAACTCTCTGTCTCGAGTCTTTTGCCATCGGGATCGTAGTACCTCTATACTATGTGCAATTTGTTCCTCAGGTGTAGAAATTCCTACTGCAATTGACTACATTTGATCATTTCGAGTCTGTGAAAGATTTCTGGACAGCAATTGCTCTGGTGATTGTTCCTTAGAAGATGTTCCATGCTGATGAGAGCATCCCTTTTTACTTATTAACTTTTATAGCATTACTATGCCTAGTCATGGGCAAAGAAATGGGGCTGCATATATTATCCAAACTGTTTCTGAGGAGGTACTTCCTTTCACATGGAATCAAGATTTCTTTTTTTCAGGTCCCCAACTTGCTATCACAGTGTCACTTGTTAAGTGACATTCTTTTCTCTAGTAACACCATCACCCACTCCCTTTCAAATCTATGCTGTGCTGGGGTTGGAACTAAAAAGCCATATTTGGGATGTTGACATATGTAAGAAAGCACTTTCAGAATGTTGTCCTTCTTAAGAAAAAATTCTCAAAATACCAGTTTTTTGTTCCAAAAAATAAAGAGAACGAGCCCAGATACGAAGTGCAGATTGCAATATGGAGCTTTTTTTTTTTTCTAACCCTGCAAGACAGTTCCCAAAGGTTATGTAAGATTTATGGTATGTAAATAGCTGTGCGACATCCACAAGAAATACCAGGGAGTTCAGCGTTTTGGAGCAGTGGACCGAAGCATGAGGCAGGAAGGCCGCAGATTTCCTTTAGGTCTTTCTAGGAGATCAGACTGGGTTTCAACTAGTCTAAAAGCACTTTTCTTTTGTTTGTGAGGCTGATGTGATCTGTGCTTGGAGGAGATAGCCAAGGTGCTAGCCATCATGGAGATGGAGTAAATGTAGCCTCAGCCTGAATTTTTTGGCTTGAAGATCAAAAAGAAAACAGAGAACTGTTGGATTGATTTAGAGTGTGGCGACCAAGTTATATTGTGCCCATGTACTCCACCTGTTTGTACTGGACATACAGAGTCTAGATTTATATACTGCAATGTAAAAATATATATATTTTTTCCTTTTGTAAAGACAATGGAAATTCCAAGTAGATAAAATATAGCCTCATTTATTTAATGCCACTTTAAATGTCTTAAATGTGTTTCTCGGTAGACAGCTGGGTAATGCTTCTAGCTGCTCGCATGCTTGTCTTTCTGCATCTCTACCGTCTGTTTACCTTTTGGTTAAACTAATAAACTGGTTCAGGACTTGGCTGGCACATGCTACCAGACCCAAAGGGATTGTATCTGGAGTATTCATCAGATGGGTTCTGGGTTCCGGATTTGCCAGTAAGGCCACTTTTTTGGAAGGCCACTCTGGCTGACTTGGAGGGAGCAGAGGGAAAGCCAGTGTCAGAGTTAGGAGGGGGTCCTCTCCATTGGCAAGTGTCAAGGGCATTTGGGAGGAGAGAATGACATCCTTAGGAAACTGCAGTCCGGTGGGATGCCTTGCTAGGCTGCACTCCCTAGGAGTCATGTGGTGGGGGACACCTTCTATAAAGTCAGACTTAGAGTTAGGATCCAAGTATTACTTTGTCTTCTTTCCAACAGTCTCTCCCCTAGTGTGCAGTTGCCACCATCTGTGTAGTTCTGGAAACCACCCATGGGTGCTCTGGAAGCCCGGAGGGCCTCTGTGGAGGGAGAAAAGGTCTTCCCAAAAGGCAATCCAACTGAGGCCTATGTGTTTCCCTCAACACAGGCACATTATTGTCATTTCATCATATTGTTTCCAAAACGTTACCAGAATTATTTTCTAGTGGATTCCTAAATGGATCCAAATGATCAAATTTTCTGGTCGCTCATGGGATTTTGGAGAGAGCTAAGTAAGTGTCCCAGTAACTGATAATATGGAGTGGGACAGGAACAAAAGGTATTTCTGCTTCTGGCACAAGGTAACTATTTTTTCAAGATTGTTCTAGAAAACTGGTTCCCTTGTTAGCCTAGAAACTGGGCTTGGTAACTTTTCCCTAGGGAGAATAATGTCTTAATACTTCCTTCTTTGGAGCCTTTTCAGATTCACCGTGCAGCACAGGGCCAGTAGGAGGCACAGAGCTCCCACTGCAGTGGCACTGAGAAGGTTCCCTGATGCCGATCCTCTTTTCCTACAGATGCTGCTAAAGTGGCACTGGTACCAACTGTATTCACAGTTCCACTGTAAGTGGTTATTGTATTGATATTATATTGCTGTATCCACCCACTATAAGTGGTCATTTGGTTATTTCCATTGTGTTTTGCATTGCTCTTTCCTCTAGAATCTCTCTTAAAATGAAATACTTCTGGAGGGGATGGATTAGGCTAGATTAGCTGAAGCAACAAACTATGAAATGTCAGTACCTTAAGACAGAGAGTTTTATTTTTCATCATGTCGTAGGCACATCAGGCAGCCCTTCTTACTTCCCTCTATTGTAAGACCCAAGGATTCAGGCAGCTTCCATCTTGCAACTCTGCCGTCTCTGGGTTTTCCTTCAAGTCACAATAAGGGTGGAGAGAACTCGTAACTGTTCCTAAGTGCCTCAGACCAGAGCGACAGTGTCACTTCCACTCACAGTCCATGGCCCCAGCCTCAGTGCAGGGGAGCTGGGGCAATGGGGGGGACACCTGGGGTGGTGCGCGAGCATCAGCGTCTCTGCCACAGATGGTGAGTGCCGCCTTCTCGCGGGGGTGCACAGGTTGGTTTATCATCCCAGTCACCAGAAAAAGTGTGTGGGAGGTGGGGCCTTGATAAGGGGGCCACGCAGAGCAAAGGAGGGGTTGAGGAAAGAGAGGATCTCAAAGGAGTGGCGAATACCAGAAAGAATAATTTAATTTTGTCCAGAATTGGTCTTGTAGAATTTAATTTTTAGCATGCACTCACCACCAATTCACATGCTTCTAATGTGGTCCCTACTTTGACTAAACTAGGAGCTGCGTGACAGATGTAGGTAGCTGCATGTCAAGTCAAAAAAAAAAAAATCCAGGAAATTTAAAGTGTTTACACATAAACCACAAGATGAAATAGAAGCCAGGCAAATTTAATGGTTTTAGACTCAGAATTTAAAAAACACTATTTGGTGTGGTTTCTTGACATATGTACCCAGAGAACTGTGGAAGCAATTCACTTATTTAACAGTTTGAGGAATCCAGTGTATTTAACATTTTCTTAAGAGCTGGAAGGCATCTTACCAATCATGTGGTCAACCCCCTCATATTACAGATCCAGGGACTGAAGCTCAGAGCCCCTGAGTCAGCTGCCCAGGGTTAGGGGCAGAGCTGTGAGTGACGGAACCCCACTCTGTGTGTGTCGCACAGGGCTGGGCACTCAGGCCAGGAGGCTTTCCTCATCGATGCTCCTCTCCAGCCGCATGGACTGGAGAGAATGCCTGGGCTCTGTCGGCTCATCCCCAGCCTTCTAACCATGTGAATTCACACAGGCTGTCTTGGGTAGGAGGACATCTGGTTGGTTCTTAAAGTCTCCAGGGAATGTCCTGCTTCTGGTGGGAGCACTGCTGCCTTTTATCCTGAGCACTGTTCCAGCTCGCAGCCAAGGAAGCTGGGCCCCGAGGGTCAGGGTTGCACTGAGTCAGCCCCCCAGCTAGGACGGAATCCACTTCCGATCCGTGCACCCGGCAAGCCCAGCGGGCTGGGAGGGGCGTGCAGGGGAAAAGTCTCCTGGGCAGAGCACCCGATGCATGAGGATTCCAAGGAGGAGTGGGCGTGGGGGTGCTAGAGTGCCACCCAGGAGGGCTAGGGCCCTCCCAGCTTAGCATCACGGTAAACCAGTTATCAGTATCCACATGCTTTATCGTACGTTTCTGGGAAGAAATTTTTGTTTCCATGACTGTTTAATCCCAAGGCAATATTGTGTGCTGCAGTTCTAGTTTCTTAGACAAAGGGTACCAGTAAGTCAAGTTTTTTTTTTAAAAAAAGACTGAATGATTTAAACAGTTTCTGGATTGCTCCAGCCATTAAAAAAAGAAAAAGCACCAATTTCAAAATGGGAGAAGCATTCTAAATGAGACTGGTAACTTAACCGCAGACATCTATTTCTGATCCTCATTTATAAAATACCTGACATCCAAGCCTCCAGCAAAATGTCATCAGAAAATCGGTCTGATCAACCGAACAATCAATATATGAGATTTCACAGGGGGGAAGTCAACAGGGGTTAGGGCTGCAAGCTCCTTTATATATTAGACTGTGAGTGTGTGTATGAGAGAGAGGGATGGAAACTTTAGATATTAGTGAGAAAACAGAAATGAGACACTGTCCCCCAGAAGCTTTGGATGGGTGTGATTCAGTGTGGGTGGGATCTGACTGCCTAGGTCCGACTCCCAGGCCATCACCACCTTAGGCTGCTCACTTCACTAAGCTCTTGCTTCATCTGAAAAGTAGGGATTGATAATAGTTCCTGCCCCTTGAGGCTCACGAAGCATTAAAGTGCGCAGCCCAGGAGAGAACACACTTCTCACCTTGCCTCACACTTGAAGGGCTGGCTGCTGTTACTGCGGGGAAGCTGCCGCCCCAAGGGGACACGTATCTTCGCAGACGCCCTCCACCTCCTTCCCCGGCTGAGTGGTCGCAGGGTGCAGATGTGAGACCCTCATCACCCTGGGAAAGTCTAGCCTGCTGTTGCTTTGGAGAAAGACTGACTCAGAGTGCTGGAGGGCAGCCAGGCCCTGTAGCTTGTTCTGCAGCTGCAGGCCGCGGAGGCTCCCCGAGAGAGGAGTGGGCCAGCGGGGCCCTGACCAGTCGCCTCCAGCAGGGCTGCAGGCCACAAGCTGGTGGGAAGCTGCCCTGACCCTGGAGTGTGTCCTCTGGAGCCCGAACCTCGTAGGGCTGTGGAGATTCCCAGAGGGCCCCACCTTCCTGGATGCCCTCCTAGAAGGGACGGACACCCTCCTAGAAGCCATGCTCCCCACCTGGGTCCTCCCTCCCGTGGCCACCTGGACTCTGTAACTTTTCCAGCAGGAAGGGGCTTTCTGCCCCAGTGAGGATGATTCAGATGCCTGACCCACTGAAGCTGCTACTGGTCCACAGGCCCTGGGGCACTGGGCCAGTTCCCTTGCAGGCTGTTCAGCCAGCAGCGCCTTGGTCCCTCCCATCGTGGCAGGTTTGCAAGGATAAAACAGGCCCTTTCAGGACTAAGCACTGCCACTTCCATTCTACGCCTCCCTCCTACCTCTAGTCTACGCCTCCCTCCTACTTCTATTTTCTCTGCTGGTTCCCTCCCTTCTTTTCTGGCCTGTGCAGTAGCCTAACTTTATCCACTAACAGCCCTGTGTTTGTCTCTTAGCCCCCTGTCCCTGCACTTATCTCCTGGGCCCTGTGTGCTAGGCCTCAGAGGCCACCTCTTCCCTCTGTCTTCAAATTCCCGAAGGCTGCAGCCCTTGTGGGTCCCCTCACACCCCGCTCTGCCCGTGGCTACCTCCCTTCACCCTGTCTGAACATTAACACTCCCTTCAAGTCTTCACAACCCATGTGGCAGTTTCCAAAGCAGTGAAAGTCGGGAGAGAGCCCTTCATTGTGGATGATTCTCCAGCTTCTCTGAAGAATGGAGAGAGAGGGCTGTCGCTACACTCTGTAAATCAAGCTCCCCATGAGCAAGAGCCTGGGCGCCTGTCCACCCTCCCCCAGAACAGGAAATGCCCAGAGGAGCCCCCTTTGCACATGTGGGGGCTGAGAAGCTGGCCCTCGGCAAGCCCCGGAATTGCTTAGGTGTGAAGATTTTATTAAAACACCCATTCCAGAGGCACCCAGGCTGAAGTAACTATAGGGAGGGGCATACAAATAAACACAGTAAATTGAAAATAAAGAGAAACCAATGCTCAGAGGTGATTCTCCACTCGTTCCACCCATTTTGAGGGCAGGTGAGAGGATGGCTTTGGGCTGCGAGCAGCCCAGCTGCTGTCATACGAGTGACAGGAGCAAAGATCATCTCAACTTTTAATACAACCATGCATAGAAGCAAAAAGAGGCCATTTTAGGTGAATTCACAGAACCGGAGCAAGGCATTCTCCTGCCCCATGAGAAAACGTAATGCACCAATTCCACCACTTGCCCTGGAATCCCACTCCGTGTTCATTATTGCCAGTAACTTCTTCCTGGAAGCTACCTAAACTCTAATCCAAGCCACATCCTCTTGTTCTGCATATGCAAATGGAGGGGGCCGAGTCCCCTCTGTCATCTATGGCGATACGATGCGCTAAACCCACCGCCGTCATTTCTCTTTCCCAAGCAGGCACAGAAGGACTTACTGGCCGCCACTGGGCAGACATTTTGTCCTTGTCTTAGTGGTCCAGCACTGAATTGGGGCTGCCACCAGCCTCCTCACAGAGAGACCCCCTCACGGGGAGAAGCCACCCCTCTCTCCTCCCGGCCCTCCTCCTTCTGCCATGTTTAATCAGAACGGCCTGCGGAGCAAGGTCCTCTCTGAAACAATACACATCACCACAAATCACAATAGATAAGGGTATAATCATTATTTCCAAGGCTGTTGCTCTTAGTTTACCGGCTGTGTCCCCCATGACACGCTCTCTGCGCATCAGATGACCAGCCTCACCTTAACTGTCCCTTTGTCTTCAGTTACCTCCATCCAGTCATGGGATCACTCATGGATCATTTCTCTCCACTCTGTTTACTTGGAGAGAACATCTCAAAAGCACATTGTAGAAGCCCCCTGGGAAGACTCCAAATTATTTGACAGTTATTAGTTAGAGGGCCTTTTTCCAATTCTAAGTGAAAAGATTGCCAAGTTTGTAGCTGAATGGGAACTTGTTTTTGACACCGACATTTTCCTGGAAACCTCTACATTGTCTGTCAGGAAGGTTACCCAACCCCGAATTCCCCCAGAGGCAATGGCCTCTGCGTTCATGCTGAGACAGCCCAAAGAGGGAGTTGCTTCCTGGCTTGAACCCAACAGGCACCTCACAGCTCCTGTCCCTTGCAGCCCACCCAGCCACAGTCCCAGGCCTTCGTGGGGCCTAGGAAGCCTTCCCATTCACCACCACCACCCCCATCCCTCTTCTAAACTCCCATTCACATCCTTAAAACCAACATAACTGTTGCCTACCCTGCAAGCTGCCTGACAGTCCTCCTCAGAAGAACCAGGTTTCCTGGGGCCCTGCAGCCTTCCTGTTTTTATGGCTGCTCCACTGGACCCAGACCCCACAGCAGCAGGGGGCCTCTCGTAGCCTTGGGAGCATCTTGGTGCCCAGCACAGGGCCCGAAACAAGGCAGTGTTCACACCTGGCTTTTGAGGTTCTGGGGAAGCCTGATATGATATTCAAGGGGTCACTGAGGTCAACATGGACTCTCCCCTCTTTCTTCCCCTCCTTACCTCAGACAAGCATCTCAGTATCTTCTGATGACTGGATAGACTGACCGTATCACACAAATATTCAAGAGGCACCCTCCCTCCCACCCCTCTCACCCGGGACTCATCTGTCTGTAGCCTAGACTCCTTTTCAACTTGCCCACCTCCAGCCAGCAGTCTGAAGCAGCCCCCTGGACAGGACGGTCAGGGACCACCCTCTCCTGTTTGCCACAGAGATCACGTAGCAGGCATGGTTCTCTCTGGCCTCCAGCATCCTTGGTCAGCGCAGACCCGGAAGTCACAGCTGTGTTGGCCATGGACCACTGTTGCACAAAACAATGAATGACATTCATAGAGTTGAGTTAGTTTTTTTTTTTAATTTTTCACGAAGAGCTCTAGAAGGCAAGTAGTTTACCACTTCCCCTCCCTAAAACAACACGGCATGACAGACAGTGTAGAATGCTGGAGGCTGGCCCTTATTTTCTGAGGTTCCTGCAGTAGGTCCCGGTGAACCCAAAGCAAGCAGCATGCCCTCTGCAAACAGAGATGCTCAGTCCACCCTCAGCAGCACCAGCACTGCTGAAGTCGGGGTCATCTGTCCAGAAGACCCCACCTTGGAGCCCAAGATCCAGAGAGGGATCCAGATGGGATTTAGCTTCCAGAGGCAGAGAGCAGGTGCCATAGCCCGAGGTGAAGGCCTCTGACACTGCGAAGGTCCCATGTCCTGACTTCGGACCAGAGGGGAGGCAGGAAGGAAAATGAGGTCGGGGAACCCCTGCATGGCTGAAGACATGACTTGCAAAGAAATGCGGGTCTGTAGTTCACCATGCTCACAATAGAACACAGCTTGGGATTCTGGACCTCAGGAGGGAGAAGCAAAGGCCACGCTTAGAACTTGATTCACAGTAGAATAGTCCTAATAAAAAATTCTAGAATTTAAGACCAATGTCTTTAAAGAATGAGAATTCATAAACCCGTCAGACCAGCTGATAGGGAAAAAGGCAAAAAATGTTCTCTACTCAACAAAACCACACAAAAATCGACTCAATCTTCCTATATTCCCAACACCTTCAGCCACCTCCCACCCTGTTAAAAAAAAGTGAAAGCCATGCACACTTGCACACATTCATATATGCAAACAAAATACAAAAGACCCAAACAAACTTAGGTATCACCTAAGGGATTTTCATTAGCTCCCCTGATGCTTTCTGTTTTTCTAGAAAAAGAGTCACGCTCTGACAGGTATGTGCAAGAAGTAAAATCTGAAGTTGGCTGAGACCCTTTCCCCAGTCTCCTTGCTTACTAGGCGGTATAGAAGACCATCAACAGTAAGTCAAGAAGGAAGGCTGACGCCGGTGTTCTGAGGAAGGCAACAGCCCTGCTGTGCTGTGGCTTGGAGCCCTCCTGGGGGTGCACTAAGCTTGGTACCAGCAGCGACCCCACCTGTGGGTGCTGCTCCAAAACATGAAGCTCCCGAAGGCATGTGTGTGTATGGTGGTGGCAGGGGAGATATTTCTGGAGGCGATGTTTTACTGCTTGTGGACATGAGAACGTGAACCTGAGGCAAGCCATCACGAGATGTCTCAGGATCCCAATTGTGCAGTGGGAAGAGATGATGTAGCCCAACTCTGCATTTCATAGAAAATCAATCCATAAAGAAAGCGGAGAGGTTGTCTGCCCAGCATCCTGACTCTGAGAGCTGCCCTGCGTGTCAGCCTCAGTCAGTCGATCAGCCCGCTGTTTCTGACCAAAGCCTCTCACCTGAAATGGAGAATCGTTCGTTTCCAGGCGGTTCAAATCGCCCGCTCAACAGGTCTCCCTGTGAGAGTCAGGCTGGGAAATGCAGGCGACCCAGGTCACTGAGCTCATGTGCCCATGCTGTCCACTCCTCAAGGGGCAGTGAGAGCCTGAGAAACATTTCTCTGCCTCACTCCACAGATGTTTTCCTTACTATTGCTAAAATAAATAATTCAAAATAGAATGAAAAACCCAGACAAGGATGGTTGCTGGCCTGAAAATGTGCTCTGCCTCTCCACAGCGACTCGCAGCTCACGCCTGCAGTTCATTCCTAAGCTCGGGGGTGCGGGGGAGCATCTCATGCCGCAGCAGAAATGCACCCCAGGACATAAACACCAACCCTAATCCCTTATATATTACATTCATCTTCATAAATACAGCACCCTCTCTCAAGTGACCAGAATAAAAGGGGCCAAAACGTGAGTTCCTTTCTCCTCAAAGAGCTACACAAACCCTCAGGTACCCCCTGTACCACACCCACGTGGCCAACTGACTACTCTTTATGCGAGTCCCCGTTGCCGCGATGGTCAGAAGCCAAGTCTCAGACGAACTCAAATACCTATCCCGAAAAAAAAAGGAAAACACCCATCCTGAGTGGATGAGGACTGAGATGAAAACCTCAACCTTGCTATATGGCTCATGACAAAATCCTTTCAACCAAACACCCCAATTAATTTGATTTTAAATGATTTGGTTTTTTCAAACTATAACTACACAAGTTTCCAGGTCACATCTGTGACATAAAATGGGCCTACAAGGCCAATAGATACAGTCCATTTGGCTTGGCTGCCTTGTCCACCCATTTATTGGGGCAACCGCCTTTCCCCTGGATACCTCGCTGAGCCATATTGTTCAGCTTTACCTTGGGAAGCCATACCAGCTGGGTAGTGGACTGAAGAACTGGGTCTGGATTGAAGTTTACCTTGATAGTTGCCATAAATCCCATCTTCTAGCCACGCTAGGAAATTCAGGTTTAGTTTGCCTATTTTCCTCCCCATCAAGAATATATTAATTTTGATCCATCACATTAGACCACTTGGGCTAGCGACTGTGACCACTAAAAGGAACTGGAGGAAAAGATGAACAGCCTGTCAGAAAAGCCAAGGAGTGGTAGGCTCCCCCTGGGGCCTTCATAGCTCATCCCGTGAAGGCAGAGTATCCAAGGAGGTTGGCGGCGGCAGGGCCTCTGTGTTCTTGGCATTGCGGTGGATATGGCCTTGCTTCCGGGACTTCCAGGAATGTGTCCTGTCCCAGTCAGTGGACACTGTCTCATTGTCCCAGATGGTCGAGGTCTCGGTGTCACTCAGGTAGCCCGGCTGGCCTGTGTAGTGTGTGGGATAGATGAGCAAAGGTTCTGCGGAGAAGGCTTTCAAGTCCCTGGATTCGTAATACTCCTTGTACGCAGCTCTGAAAACAACAGGTGTACAGGCACGTGAGTGGGGTGCGCAGGGGATAAGAGCAGTTGGGCCCTGCTTGCTGTCTCTTAAACTATCATGGATTTTAATTATTTTTTAAGTTGTGTCTTTTGGGGAAAGCTTTAGCTTACAAATATAGTGAAAGAATTTATTTTAAAGCTTTCAGGTGATCTAAACAAATACATGAGGAAGGTCATGGTATTTCTGTTGTACTGGGATAGACTGGTTTCAGAGATTAATTTCAGGTCTTCCTCCCAAAGTTAAGATTAAATTCTGTTGGACCGTAATGATCACCTTGTTGAAAATGCATGTGATCCCTTTGTAGAAAACACCCTGTTCCTGGATTAATAAATAAGACAGTTGAGATGTGGATGGCAATGAAGGTGTAAGTGAAACGGTGGAGGCTTCAAGGCATGCCAGCTTGGCTTGGCATTCCAGCTCCCTGTGAATACAAAACAGAGGAAGGCCTTGGCCTCCCTCCCAGGGCTCCAGATTATATGAGGCAACATCTGCTCAGCTCCTAGGTCCCTGAGCTCACCATAGGTGTTAATTTCCTTTCTGTTAAGGGGCTGATGGTTGGCCTCCATGTGCCTGCCAGGATGCAGATATCAAGTCATTGTCTGACATGTTGCATAAAATAGGGCGAGGAGCTCTTGCACACTTAAGTACTTACTGAGCACAGGACACACAATGAGTAAGATGCAGGACAGGAACTCTCAACTGCTAAAATGATGACCATCTAGTGAGGAGATAGACCCTCTCAGCAACTGAGAGAAGGAGTTGAAGTTAGAACCTGGTCTCCTGCTCCATTAATGCATTTAGGAATGATTGATTAAGCAACTATTTTTAACATAGAGTTTGGACTAGGCTCTAAGGACATAGAGATGTAAGACTGTTTCTGTCTCAGGATTCACAGGTTACTGGAGAGACTGACAGGTAAGCCATCAGTTACCATAGTCTTTGATAGGTGCTATGTCAGTGCAAGCCCTGAGGTATGGGAACCTGAGCATCACGCTGCTTTCTCCCATGGATGCCTTGCTCAGGGGCCACCTCTGCTCTCCCTGTGATCACAGGCATCACTGCATTACGATTACTGTTCATGTGTCTGAGTTTCTGACCTGACTGTGAGCTCTGCAAGACTGGGGACAACTGGCGCACACAGTGGACTAAGAAAGAAACAAAACTTTGAGGTACGTAGGACAATGACCTTCACCTTGAGGTATATGAGTTTATGGAAATAAGGTCGAAGACAAGGAGAAGACTGAGCAGAAAATGCCTAGTTAAATTATGCCCTGGGTTTAAAGAGGACCCCCATGCAAGACTTGCCATTTCTGCCTCATCTTTCACATCTGTAAAATGGCGTAGTCACTCAAGTCAGCCTCTCTGGGTCTGAATTATGGAAAGATCATTTAGGAAAGCAGTACATCTTTAGAAAGGTCAAGTACTACCCAGAAACAAAGTAGTGTAATTCACAAAGAAGCTCTGCCCAGGGGATAGGTGGGCAGTGCAGCACGACTCACACAGGATGTTTGTTGTACATGATTGGCAGAAACTCGTCCACTGGCAGCATCTTCCCAAAAGGATCCGCTCCCACCAGCTTCTGCGCTCCTTCTAGGGAGATGACGTAGCCCAGCGTCCAGTAGGAATAGTCAGCTTCTACCAGATTCACCACGCTGGGCACTGCTTTCTCTGGCTCCTTTACTTGCATCCTCTTCCTACCAATATAACTAAAAGGAAATGGGTGGAGGAGAAAAGTTTCAGTTTGAATATTGGACATCCGTGAGAATGGAGCACAGCTTTGCAGACACTCGCAAAAGCTGGGACCAAGCCTTACATTAAATGTGTCACATCGCAGAGTGCATCACTTCACCAACCATGACTGTCACCTGCCATCTACGGGGCTCCCTGGCCCCACTTATCAATATCTCAGCTATTTGCTTGCCTAGCAAACTGTTCCAGCTGGAAAGTTAATATGTAGAGAGATTATAAGATCTTTCTGATCATTTCCCAAAGATAGTATGGGATTTCCAGCTGTGTGTTTTCAGAGGCTGGAAGGGGATAAAAAAGGCCAGATGTGAGAATCCTGTTTGTGGCTTTCAAGTCCCCAGAGTTTCAGCCTCCAGTGTTTTCTGCACAGCTCTCCAAATGCTGGTGGTAAAACCAGGACAGAAAAGAAACAGTCTGTGGTAAAAGACCCAGGAATCCAAGGGAGTCTTCATGCACCCGCCCGGCTCTCTCCCCTCCCACTCACCCAGCTCTGCCCACTTGTCCTCCTGAGTCCTCTGCTCTGGGAGGGGCACCCAGGCATGCCCTGTCCTCCATGAGCAATTTCTGCAACGCAAGACGTGCCCTCAGCCATTCCCACATCCCCGTAGTCTGCTCTCAGACTTGTGTTGCCTCCATCACTGCTGCCTGAAACCTGTTTTCCCTCTTGCCTAGAGCACGCTGAGGAGACGCCTGCTAGGTAAACCTTACTTCCTCTATTTCGCCCTAAAACTCTCTCTTCCAACATTCAAAAAATTCCCAGTCCCAGGATTTGTGGACCAAGTCTACATTCACTTTCAGTTCTTCTGAGGACATGAAACATACATCCTCCCAGCCACTGTCTCTTCAGATGAAAGAGCCTCTTATGTATCTAATTTCTCTCATGCAGCAAGTGGAAGGGAAACTCCTACTGAGCACTTGAGATGTGTCTAGGGCAACTGACAAACTGAGTTTGTACTCAATTTGTTAATTCTACTTAATTTTAATTTTAACTTAAGAATTGAAGATGTGTAAAATATTTTTTTCCATTAAACAAAATGTATTGTTTTGGTAGAACTACAGTTTCACCTCAGCATTGAAAATTCAGTGTGGATTTAGATGTGTTAACAGTATAAAATACACACTGGATTTTGAAGACTGTACAAAAAAAGAATGTAGATTACTATCATTAATAGTTTTCAAATACTGGTTACATGTTGAAATAATATTTGGATATGTCAGGTTAAATGTAGTATTGAAATTAAGTTCACCTAATTTAATTTTTTATTTTTATTAAAGTACCGTTGATCCACAATCTTATGATGGTTTCAGTACACAACACAGTGGTTCAACATTCACCTGTATTATCAAGCCCGCACCCCCTCCAGCACAGTCACTGTCTATCAACTTAGTAAAATGTTACAGAATCATTAACTGTATTCTCTGTACTGTACTACCATCCTGTGACCAACCTATGACCTAATTTATTTTTACCATTTTAATATAATCACTGGAAAATTTTAAATGATATATGGCTCATGTTATTGGACAGCAAAGCCCTGGATGATTCTAATGGCTTGTTCTACTCTTCCCCTTTACATTTTCCTTTTTCTGGGGAACATTAATGTAGTAGTCCTTGACAGCTATCAGCCTTCATGTTTTGAGTTTAAGTAACATTTGTTTCTTCTTCATTTTAGAAAGTGAGAGGTGAAGAATTTGAAGCCACTGTAATTCTTGAAGATTATATAATAGATTCTGGTGGAAGAGTTTGACTTGCCCAGTCTGTGAATTTTAGAAAACATCTTCTTTTCCCTGTATCTTTCTCAGGACAATCGCTCTTTCTTGGATCTGTTGGTACTTTGTCCTGAGAAACGCACCAGCCAGACTGCAAGGGGACCAGGGATGTGTCCCAATCTAAGCCTTAGACACTCTCAGTCATGTCCTCTGTGATTCTGAGCCTTACGTGAAAGTTGCCTTGCGCATGTCATATGAGCATCAAGTGGCTTCCAGCCTCCATGCCTGTGGGGCCTTAATCCCAGGCTGCAGGGCAATAGATTCAGAAAGGCTGCCGTGTGGTGACTTCTGGGGGATTATAGGAACAATGAGATGAAGGAACGGCGAAGCATCTAATCACATGACTGATATCTGAGAGGGAGCCCCTCTCTTTTTAAAACATAGTACTGATTCCTGGGTCTGTTTCTCCTGGGTGAGTTGGGCCCTTGCTAGGTTTCTTTGGAGCTCAGAATGGTACATCTGAGGGAACTAGTACTCCAGCAGGGCCCACAGGTAAATCTCCCTGTGTGGCTGGGAGGAGCAGGGACAGCTTGTCTGCTGTGGCCGCTCCAAAGGAACAGGCTCTGATTTGATGAAATTGCCTTTGACACACAGCTGGGGAGTGAATGATGCTTGGAAACTTTCTCATTGGAGAGAAGTAAAAAGTGTTATTTTGGCTTAAAAAGAAAGAGAGAGACAGAACTCAGCTTCCAGAGGTAGCAGACAACAGGCATTAACCGCATGTCAGTGCCGAGCAGCTGTCCCTTGGTGGCTGGAAATGCCAACAGCCTATGGCCCTGCACCAAGCCTACCTGTCAGGGTTCTCCCTGTGCTGGCAGCTTCCCCTCCCCACAGAGGAGCTCTTCTGCCGACCTCCAGCATCCTCAATGGCAGGAGCGTGCACAGGGGAACCTACTCTCCTGGGAGCTGAGGTTCTAGTGTGACACAGGACCTCCCTTGAATGAATGCCTTCTTCTCCCTCTTCACACTCCCTCCCTGGACCTCGCTGCTTCTTGCGTGCGATTTTGGCCATGCTCAGAATGGAGTGCTTAGTCTGCAGGCCACGTGAAGGCCTCACAAGAGTCGCCCATGGTGTCTTTCTCACCTTGCAGAGTTTATATGTGCAAAAACTAGGGGCTAGCCTCTAGCCTCTGTTCACTTCTTGTTTTGGGGAATGTTTATGGAGAGAAAACCAGGCAAGTGGAAGCTTGAGCTGCATCTCCTCCTATATGGTGCTGACTGCCCCTGGAAAGGACTGCGTGCCTGTGTGCTCTCTGATAAGCTTGTCTTGTCACTCACATCAGTTCCCAATCCAGCTGAGCCCGGTCAATGTCATCCATCAGCTTCATCAGCTTCTTCTTAAACTGATGTTCAAAACGCACATCATCCTCAATGACAAGGGTCTTCTCCAGCTCTTGGTCAATTACCTGTAAAGGTCATCAATGGGAAGTTTGATACCTCTTTTTTTAATTAGATAAATAAGTATTAAAAAACCTAGAGTATAGTAGCACAATATGTAATAGCTCATAACGAATCTAAGCAAATGCCAATCAACAGTGGAGTGGATAAACTGTGGTATATTTATGGCAATGAAAATATGCATACTACGATTTGATGCAACTTTATAGATGAATCTCACAAACGTAATGTTGAGCAATTATACATACTACATGGTTACATTCATATAAAAAAAAAAGTACAAAAGTAGACAAGACCATTCTGTGCTGTTGGAGTTCAGGACGTTGATTACCCCTGGGGACTGGGGACTAGAAGGAAATGCAGAGGAGGCGCTTCTGGGGGGCTGGGAATCTGCTTCTTGATCTAGGTTCTGGAGAACATAGGCTTATTGTACAGTTTGTGGAATTTCAGTGGCCCATATTTTATGATCTACATACTTTTATACATATCTGTTTCATTTCATTTAAAATTTAAAGAAAATAAAAAAATAGGCATAGACTCGATTATTCAGAGAGAAGGCATTCCAGGGGGCTCTTCTTTAGGGACTTTTTCTTTTGTGGGGACTGACCCTTTATCAGAACCCCACACTGCAATGCCACCTCTGTCAATGCCTTGTCTGTAAAATGGGTTTAAGTCCTTTCTCTGCATCTTCTTACCTAGACAAAATATTGAATTACTTCCTCTTGGCTAAAATGGTTCCATCCATCCTGACCCCCCCACATAACTTGTGTGTGACTTCCTGTAGGGAATCACTTAATAAATGATGACATGTTAGATACATATAAGGCATTTCTACCAAGGACAAGAATGTATCAGCAGGAGTGTGGCCTCCAGAACCTGGGTATTTCCTCCAGTCGTCATCCTAAGTGGCACCAACCCTCCTTGTTTGTTCCTGGCTTGTGTCAGAGGGAGAAACAAGGCAGCAACAATTTCCAAGCATACTTCCAGACAGTTACCAATTCATCTGCAAAGTCCCACTCTCCTTCCTCCTCATTACAAAGCTGCACATCTCAATAAAGCATTATTTACCTCTTTCCATACAGAGTAGTGGCTAAGAAAGCAGCCGATTTCACCCCTGGTCAGAGGCCTGGAGGAGTAGGGATCTCGATATCCAGGCAACATTTCAATATTCAGGGCCTTCAGCTGGCTTGTATTGAGTGCCCTGCATGACAGAGAACATGTCTGAAAATGAACAAGGTGGGATGCCCTCCCAAAGAAGCACAGAGAGAGAGTTCTGCGTCCCCTAGAACTTTTATGCACACTGAGAAAGTCTTTTAGGTTTCCCATCATTCCTTAGGAGTTCCTCAGGGCTAATGTGTCGTGTAGCATTATGAGCATTGTGAAGACAAGAGGCTGTGTTATACACTGTGTATCCCACACAATGCCCAACATAGTTCTAAGTATCATAAGTTTTTGACAACTTTGAAAAAGTAGTTTCCTAATGAAGGATAGTGGCTAATAGGAACTTGAACTACTAGAAGGGATGAGAACAGAAATCAATGAGGAGAGGATTATGTGCATATGTGTGTCTTTTCTTTGGACCTAAATTTAAAAAAAAGGGGTTAAAAACAAAAATAGCAGAGAGAATCTTGTAAGCAGCAAGAAAGAAGTGACTTACTCCATAGAAAATACTTTCAATAAGATTAATAGTTGATTTTAATCAGAAACCATGGAGGCCACAGAGCAGCAGGTTGACATATTCAAAGTGGCGGAAAAAGACTGTCAACCAAGAACTCTATATCTAGTCAAACTATCCATTAAAAATGAAGAACTTAAGATTTTCCCAGATAAAAACAGAGCTTTTCACTAGCAGATCTGCTCCACAAGAAATGCTAAAGGGAATCCTCAGGCTGACATGAAAGGAAACTAGAGAGTAACTCAAATTCACATAAAGAAATAAGGGACACAAGTAAACATAAATGACAGTATAAATGATTGTGTTTTTCTGTTTAAACTCTTCTTTTCTTATCTGACTTAACCTATAGCTGCATAAAGCAATAATTATAAGTGTTAAAGGGCATATAATGTTGAAAGATGTAATTTGTATGACAAAAATAGAACAAAAGATGTGGAAAAGATCTATAGAGGAGCTAAGTTGTGTATTCTATTGGTATTTCTTTTATTGAGATAAAATTGATATAACATTATATTTATGTACCATATAAAGATTTATTTAGTATTTGTGTATATTGTGAAATGATCACTGCAATAAGTCTAGTTAACACCTACCACCACACAGTTACAATTTTTTCATGATGAGAACTTTTAAGATTTACTATTTTAGCAACTTTCAAATATACAATACAAATATTATTAACTATAGTCACCATGTTTTACATTATAGCCCATAATGTATTTATTTTATAACTGGAAGTTTTTACCTTTTCAACTACTTTACTTTTTTCACCCACCCTCCAACTCCCACCTCTGGCAACCACCAGTCTGTTCTCTGTATCTGAGTTTGGTTTTTTCTTTTTCTTTAAATTTCACATGTAAGTGAGATCATTTGGTAGTTTTCCTTCTCTGACTTATTTCACTTAGTATAATGCCCTCAAAGTCCATCTATGTTGCCACAGATGTCAAGATTTCCTTCTTTTTTATGGCTGAATAATATTCCATTGTGTATCTATACACCACATTTTCTTTATCTATTTATCTTTTAATGGACACTAGATTGCTTTCATGTCTTGGCTATTGTAAATATTGCTAAAATGAACTTGGGAATGCATCTCTTTTCAAATTAGCTTTTTAATTTTCTTCAGATAAACACCCAGGAGTGGAATTTCTGGACTATATCATAGTTCTATTTTTAATATTTTGAAGAAATTCCATCTCTTTTCCATAGTGGCTACACCAATTTACTTTTCTAGCAACAATATACAAGGGTTTCCTCTTCTCCACTTCCTCAGCAACACTTATTATCTCTTGTCATTTTGGTAATAGCCTTTCTGACAGATGTGAGGTGATACCTCATTGTGGCTTTGATTTGCATTATTTTTGATGTTGAGTGCCTTTCCATGTATCTGTTGACCACAAAATATTTCCTGAACTTTTTTCAGAAAATGTCTATTCAGATCCTCTGCCCATTTTTTAAGTTGGATTGTTTGGGGATTTGTTGCTACTGAGTTGTATGAGTCCTTTACATATTTTGGAAATTAACATCTTGTCAGATATAGAATTTGCAAATATATTCTCCCATTCAGTAGGTTGCCTTTTCATTCTGTTGATGATTTTCTTTGCTGTGCAGAAGACTTTTAGTTTATTTATTTTCTTATTGCCTTGGCTTTTGGTATCAAGTACAAAAAAATCATCACCAAGAATGATGTCAAGGATCTTACCCATTATGTTTTCTTCTGGGAAGTTAGTATTAATATGAACTAGAACATTATAAATTAGGATCTTTATTGTAATTGCCAGGGCAATCACTGAGGAAATAACTAAAAACATATATAGTAAAAGAAGCAACAAACGATTTTAAATAGTAGAGTAAAAAATATTTTTTTAACACAAGAAGACAATATTGGAGGAACAAAGGAACAAAAAAGACCTAAGACATACAGAAAATAGATAAAAAAGGGCAAGCATAAATCCTACCTTATCAGTAATTACATTAAATGTGAATGGATTAAACCCTGCCATCAAAGGCAGAGCTTAGCAGAATGAGTTTTTGGAAACATGATCCAACTATTTGCTGTTCATAAGAGACAGATTTTAGATTCAAAGATACAAATAAGTTTAAAATAAAGGGATAGAAATAATATACCATGGAACCAGCAACCAAAAAAGAACTAGAGGAGCTATACAGTTGAGCCTGTATTTGAACTGAGTGGGTCCACTTACATACAGATTTTTTTCAATAAGGACATTAGAAAAATTTTTGGAGATTTGCTACAATTGGAAAAAACATTTTCTTTTCTTTAACTTACTTTATTGTAAGAATACAGTATATAATACATATAGCACACAAAATATTTGTTAATTGACTAGATTATCAGTAAGACTTCCAGTCAACACTAGGCTATTAGTAGGCAAGTTCTGGGGAGAGTCAAAAGTTATAGTTAGATTTTAAAGATTATGTGTGGGAGTCAGCACCTCTACTCCCCACACTGTTAAAGGGTCAACTGCACTGATATGTAACAAATAAACTTTTAGACAAAATTAATTACTAGAGAGAAAGACAAACATTTTAAAATGATGAAAAGTCAATCTTTTGGAAGACATAATTGTAAATATATATGCACCTTATAACAGAGCAAAAACATGAAGCAAAAATGGACAGAACTGAAAGGAGAAATAGACAATTCAACAATAACCATGGGATACTTTCAATAATGGATAGAACAACTTTGCAGGAAAACAACAAGAAAACAGAACACTTGAACAATACTGCAAACCAACTAGACCTAACAAATATCTATAGAACATTCCACCAATAGCAGCAAAATATACATTCTTAAGTGCACATGCAAAATTCTCTAAGACCATATGTTAGACCATAAACACCAAATGCCATAATCAAGCTTAATCAACACTTAAAAGGATTGAAATCATACAAGGTATGTTCTCCAATCACAACAGAATGAATTGAAAAATCAACAGCTGTAAGAAATTTGGAAAATTTGCAAATATGTGAAATTAAGCAATACTCTCCTAAATAGCCATGGGTCAAAGAAGAAATCACAAAATAAATTAGAAAATATTTTGCGATTAGTGAAAATGAAAACACAGCATACTAAAACTTACAGGATGCACTTTATGGCATACTTAGATGGAGAGTTACAGCTTTGAGTGCCTATATTAAAAAAAAGACCATCTCAAATAAATCTGATTTTTTACATTTTAAGAAACTAAAAGAAGAACAAGTTAAACTCAAAGCAAGCAGAAGGAAGGAACTAGTAAAGACTATATTGGAAATACATGAAATAGGGAATAGAAAAACAATAGAAAAAATCAATAAATCTGAAAGTTGGTTATTTGAAAAGATTAACAAAATTGATAAACTGATAATTAAACTGACCAAAGAAAAAAGAAAATGGATTCCAATTATTAAAATGAGGAATGTAAGAGGAGCTGGTCCTTACTGACTTTATGGAAATAAAAAGCATTAAGAAAAGTGCAATGAACAGTGCACACCAACAAATTAGATAATCTAGATAAAAGGGACAAATTGCTAGAAAGATAGAAACCACAGACTCATGAAGAAATAGAAATTCTGAAAACACATACAGCAAGTGAAGTGGTTGAATTAGTAGTTAAAAAAAAATTTCCCACAAAAAAGGTCCAGGACCAGATTGCTTCACTGGGGAAGTGTGCCAAACATTTAAAGAATTTACAGCAATCTTTCACAAACTCTTCCAAAAAAATAGAAGAGGAGGGAACACTACCCAATTTATTTCTATGAAGCCAGTTTTATCCTGATACCAAAACCAGAAAAAGACATCACAAGAAAATGAAAGACCAATATTCCTCAATAATATCGAGTCAGAAATTCTCAAAAAGATATTAGAAAACAAAGCACAGCAACATATAAAAGGGATTCTACACTGTGACCAGATGGGATTTATTCTGGGATTGCAAGGTTGGTTTAATATGTGAAATCCATCAATGTAATACACCATATTAACAGACAAAAATCATATGGTCATCTCAAAAGATACCAAAAAAGCATTTGACAAAATCCAATTGTATATAGATTGAATAATTATAGGCCCCCAAGTTTACATGTTGATGGTCTTAGGAGGTGGGGTTGTAGGTCATGAGGGTGGCACCCTTGTAAATGAGATTGGTGCCCTTACAAGAAGATCCATGGGAGAGCTTGCTTCCTCTCTCCTCCTCCTCTCTGCTCCGCGAGGGCACAGCAGAAAGAGAGCAATCTGCAAAGCAGGGAGGTCTCTCCCAAGAACCCAGACATGCTGGCACCCTGCTCTTGGGCTTCTTAGGCTCCAGAATGGTGAGAAATAATGTTGGTTAAGCCACCTAGTCTAGGGTAATGTGTCAGAGCAGCCCAGGCTGCATAAGATGACATACTCTTTTGCAATAAAAACATTCAACCAAATAGGAAGAAAAGGGAACTTTTTCAGCTTCCTCCAATAAAGGCCATCTGTGAAAACCCCATGGCTAATATAATACTTAATGGTAAGAGGCTGACTACTTGCCTCTAATATCAGGAATAAGACAAGGATGTCCACTCGCATCACTTATATTTGACATGGTACTTGAGAATCTGGCCAAATCTAGGGTAATTAGGCAAACAAAATAAATAAATGATATTCAGATTGTAAGATAAAGTGACACTATCTACATTTTCAGATGACAGTCTTGTATATAGAAAATCCTAAGGAACACACACACACCTTATTAGAACTGATAAATGAGTTCAGCATGGTTTCAGTATACAAGGTCAAAACACAAAAATCAGTTGTTTTCCTATACAATTAACAATGAGCAATCTAAAGCAACTCCATTTATCATGGCATCAAAAAGAGTAAAATACTTAGGAATAAATTTAACAAAATAAATACAAGATTTGTACACTGAAAACTATAAAACATCATTCAAAGAATTAAAGAAGATCTAACTAAATGGAAAGATAACCCATTATCATGAGTCAGAAAAAAAATTGTTAAGATAGAAATACTCCCTCCCAGTTAATCTACAGATAGAAATACTCCCCCCAGTTGATCTCCCCCCACTTGCAATTTCTATCAAAATCCCAGCCATCTTTCTTTCTGTGGAAAATGTCAAGCTGGTGCAAAAATTCATATGGAAATGCAAGATATCTAGACTAGCCTAAACAATAACAAAGTTAAGGGATTCATACTTCCTTATATACAAATCTGTAGTCATCAAGACAGTGTGGTACTAGAATAAGGACTGACATACACATTACAGAACAGAATTGAGAGTCCAAAATAAACCCTGACATTTATGGCCAACTGATTTTTTATGAGGGTGCCAAGACAATTCAAAGGAAGAAAGAATAGTTTTCTTAAACAAATGGTGCAGAGACAACTAGATAACCACATGCAAAAGAATGAATGTGTACACCTATTTCACACCACATAAAAACTAACTCCAAATGGGTCAAAGATCTAATGTGCAAGAGATATATATGAGAGAAATCTATAAAACCCTCATAAGAAAACATAGAAATAAGTCTTTGTGGCCTTGGATTTGGCAATGGATTCTTAGATATGACACCAAAAGCACAAGCAACAATAAAAATATCAATTAGACTTCATCAAAATTAAAAACTTTAATTGTTTCAGTGGACACCGTCATGAAAGTGAAAAGACAGCCCATAGGGTGGCAGAAAAAACTGCAAATTACATTATCAAGAAACTTGTATCCAGATTATGTAAAGAACTCTCACAGCTCACCTACTGTCCGCTGGTTTATATGGCCTAAGAATGGGATTGTATATAGAAAATCCTAAGCAGTGTTTCCCAAACTCTAATGCACCCAAGAATAGGGTTGCCAGATTTAGCAAGTAAAACATAGAATGTCCACTCAAATTTAAAATTCAGGTAAACAACTAATAATTTTTTTAGGATCAATATGCTCCATGCAATTACTGGGACAAATTTGACTGGGTGTTTTATGTGTCAACCTTACCTAAAACTCACCTAAGTGCTTCCTAAATGCAGATTCCTTGCCCCAGCCCTATAGATCATGATTCAGTAGTTCTAGGATGGGACTCAGGAAGCTGCTCTCTTTACCAGCAGCCCCTAGGACTCTCACGTGGGTGTCCAGGCCACTTTGAGAAAACAGGTAAGGTTCTCTAAAGAAGTTACAAGAACTTCTACAATGGCTTCCAGTCATGTTCCTCACAACCATTCATATTCCAGACTAACATTTAACATGGAACTGCAGGTTTTACAAAAATCTATACCTTGAAATAGAGAGTCAAATAAAAAGGCAATTCAAAGCAAAGCAAAACAAAACAAAACGAATGAAAACAACAGTAACAAAAACTCTTGAAGGAATCTAGCCAAGTACCTTGGGTGACTTTCCTGCCCTATTCCCGGGAAAAGTGATCAGCCCAGGCAGCCTATGGCAAGCCTTTCATGCAACAGGAGACACAGACCATTATGCATTTTTTCCGTTTATTTTCTTCAGGTCACCCAAGTTTAGAAGCTTTGCTCTAAATCAGGCTCTGAATGCAACTCTGAATGTATTCTTTCCAAAACACTAGAGAAAACTGGAAACCATCAAAGCCTTGCAAAAATCCCAGAGACAGGGGAAACTCACTCACTTCCAGGGTGACCTTCAGAGAATGAGGACCAGACGTCACTGGGCGGTGAGTGGATTTCCCTGCTCCGCATGGTGAAATTAACTTACATGCTACTATAATTCATACAGTTCTTCCCAAAAGAGGCTGCAGGTGGCCATTCCATAAATGTGTCTGTCTATCACCTAGTGACTTCAGATTCCTCCCACTAAGGACTCAACCCATCAGAGAGGGCAGATCCCCACTCCAACCACACTTGCAAAGGTTCAAGGAAAAACCAAACTCACTTTCCATCCACAGCCTCAACAATCTTGACCTCAATCTCTTGCTCGTACAGAGTGCGTAACATCCGGTCCCTCCTGTCCTTTCTGCGCTTGAGGTTTATCATGAAAATCTAATGGGGGAAGAAAAGAGATTATCAAATCTTATATTATCAGGGTGTTTGAAAAGCAAAGTAAATGTACAGACCAAAGTTTTAGTTAGAATAAGGAGTGGAAAAGATAGGAAAAATCATGGTGAAGATTTTTATGTTTTTATATTTCATAACAGGTCCAATGACATTAATCCAGAATTACTTTCAAAACTGAGTCATTGGCAGTGACTTCCCCCATTCTTTGTTACTCTGATGACTGTTGATAGACATATTTGCCCTGCTCTTGAGTTAGGAAAGTTCAAAAAGTTACTCTTCAGGAGGCCAGAGGTGAATTAATCCCCAAACATACCAGACTAAGGGGTAGGAGGTGGCTTGGCAACTGAGTCAGATTTATCAGCTGACCTAAATTTTTGTCTTTTATTTACTGAGTTGTTTGCCTTGGGCCAGTTCCATGCCTCAGTTTCCTTATCTGTAAAACCGGGATAGTACTGGTCTTATTTCATGGGTACTAAGTACTAGCCATTATTATTAAATTTAAAGCCATTCAAAGAATCAGAAAAATCTAGTCCTAATACAGTCCTTTTGTTTCCAAAGGTTCCAAACTGAACTATCAAGGTTTCAATTTTAGGAGCTTCTTTGCCAGGATTCTTCACTTCCTTTACAGATGAGATTTTTTTCTGAAAGAAGATGGGAGTAGCCCTTTGAAGAGGCAAGAAATAGAAAGATGTAATTTCCACATCATGTGCATCTGAAGGAGACATTAAAGAGAGGACACCTACTGGTCTACAAAGCCCCCCCAAATGTGCCTTCAGATTTCCTCCTGAAATGAGGGTGGAGTCTGCCTGCAGTCTCTCACTCAGGCCCCTCGTTGCTGCTGGCTGCACTCAACATGTGCAGATAATGAGGAGTCACAGATAATGAGGCTCTCCTCCACTTTTCCAGATTTAAGGAGCCCCACTAGTATCTAATCTCATGAATGCTATTACAGGTAAATATGTGTTTTAATAAGGTCTTTTTGCTACAAGCAGGAATAAATTCTTTTTGAATATTAAACTAGTCCTCCAGACAGAGAGACTTTGGCTGCCAGCAAGAAATACGAATGACAGGAAGCGTGGAAAAGGAGAAACTTATAGGATTAAGTCAGATGATATTGGCTTCCTCCTGACTAACTGTCTAGATGACTTTGAGGAAGATATTTAACGTTCCAGGGTCCATTTCCCTCGTTTGGAGAAAGAAGAAGTTGAACCACCTCATCTCTCAAGTACAGTACAGATGAAAACGCCTGTGATCCATGGTTTATGATAAAGTTAGCTTTGTGCTATGTCCACAATAAAGAAGACACTACATCTTATAAACAGCCTGGGAATTTACTAGGGCCTAAGCTTTGGTTCACATGTCATTCTGAGTGTAATCATCAATATGTTATGTGTTTTATTGGATCTAAAGCACTCCTACCTAAAATTTCAACTCTTCCTTACAGAATATTCTCATTGTCATCCATTTATAAAGCTCTGGGCAAAGAAACATGCCTGGGATGAAGGGTGATGTGTGTGTCCCAAGATGTCCTCTTTGAAGAAATCACCCACCTGATTTAGAGCAAAGTGGATCAGGTGCATCATGATTTCATTACCTCCTTTGTTTACCTAACTGAGTAATTACTTTTTTTAAAAAGCACCATTTCTGTGGTGACTCTGTTTGTTTTGTTACTTGGGACTTTATGACTTCATGGGTTCTTTTATATTTCACTTCCCTCCCATCCAGAAGCTGTGATGGGCCATCCTCCCGCCCCATTTTACACATCTGGAAAGGAAGGTGCATTTCCTCATGTGCACACAGGGAACTATCTGAAGTCACTCCAGGACAGCAAAAACAAAACAGGACAATCAATCAACAGAAATAACAACAACAAGTCCCCTCAAGCCAGAGACCTCTAGTCTGGAAGAATTTTAGTAAATAATAATCCAGTCCCAGTGCAACAAAACTGTAGCCATTGCAGGGAAAACACAGACAGCTTGCTCATATTTGGTGAAGAGCAGACCGAGAAAGAGTCACACCACCAAATGTACCCAGACACCAGCAGTCAGGTCACCGAGTAGTGAGAAGGCTGAAAAGGCCTCTGAACATCCCTTTTCTTACCATCCTATCTCTGCTCCAGACAGAGAAATGGTTCCCAGGGCTTAGGAAAGTAGAGTCCCTGTGCCTCAGGCATTTCCTAAAGTTGGCATTTTCCAGAAGGCTTCTAGGAGGGACCCAGTCCTTAGTCCTACATTCAAAGGGAGCCCACAGCTGGAAGATCCTGGGTCTGCCCCATTTTACTTGCTCTGCTTTCGTCCTCACCGCAATGCGTTTATAAAAGGAGCAATGAAAATGCGTAAAGACACTTGGGTTTTCTGACCTGGAGAACTGATTGCTGAAGCAGGAAAGCTGTAGTGGTATGTGGAAGCTGGTCCAGTGTGGTCCAGGGCTTTTCTGCAGCCCGGATTGCTTTTAAGGCTACTTACACTCTTGTCTAGTTCCTCTCTACCACACTGAAAATCATCTCTTCTTCAGCCCTCTGTGGAAATGATGTAATAGCTGCTAATTGTTTTCCACTTAATATTCACAAAATACTCCTTCCTGTTCCTGGAGTCCAACTCCACATCATTTCTATAGAAGAAATGCCAATTCCCAGTCCCAGCACTTCTTGATGACGGTCATACTGTAGGACATGTATTATATGGTACAGACTGATAAGCACAACATTCAGTGAAATTTCAGTGAAGCAGTGGCAGTGAGCCCAGAACCACAAGCCTTGGCATACAACACGTAGAACCATGGAAAAACTCCATCTCAGTGTGTGGAGTCCTGATGTATTGTCCTAACTGCCAGATGACCAAGCTCCTGAATACTGATCAGAAGCTACATGACTCAGGGGGACCCATAAAAGATTTTGGAGTCACAATACTCTGCCAAGTATCTGTTGTGCCTATTACCAAGAAAGGCCTTTCTTTATATTTCTGTTTCATTCTTTATGTAAGTAATGCTTTTTAATTATGGCCCTGAGAGCACTATCACCAGTTCTGCCCTGCTGAAAGGCAGGTTTCAGAGCAAGTTCTTTTTCAACCCTGCCCTCCACTTCTTTCCATGGAAGAACAGCAAGAGAAAATAAAGCACAGAGTGTGCCAGAAAGGTTCCCATTCATTCAGGAAAAAGTTGAAGTCTTCCAATACCTAAAACATACATCCCCTGCCCTACCTTGAATCTTGATTAAAAGGTTGATAAAATAGGGTAATATCTGCACCTAGAAAATATCAAATTCACTTTCATGACAAAAATAGTAACTTCTTTCTGACTCAATGATTAATTCAGTTTTACATGAGGCTCCTTTTTTAAAATAAGAAAACAGAGCCACCACAAACCCCAAGTATTTTTCCCAGGCTCTTAGTGGCTTTTCAGCAGCCAAGCCAGTCTCGCTGGCTCTCAGATGTATGCTCAGGCTTGCATGTGTCTACATAACACATAAGCATATAATATATGCTTCCAGTATAAACACATAAGCATGCTGCGCCCATGTGCATGTGTGCACGTGCACACACACCATTCCTACCTCATCAAATCCCATCTTGTCTGGATACTTAGGCACAACTGAGACAAACTGGGAAGGTTCCATTGGAGGATGGTCAACTGGAAGACACAAGAAACATGCATGTACTTTGTCAGTAAAAGGCTGGGTGAACAGAATCCTATTTGTACACCTGATCCCTAGGAACACAACCTGGATGTCCAGGACTCGGTGGTTCTCCAGAACTGAGTGGCTATGCAAAAACCCTGATGTTCAGGGTTTGTTTATACGCAGATTGCAATATTTGCTACATTTTCCTTAAGGCTTATTTTAAGAGGATTCGGAAGGCTGTTTAGGGTATTGGTTAAGAGTGAGGGGGCTGGAGTCAGATAATCTTTGTCCAAACCTTGGTCTGTGAATGTCTGGAACAGTTGGGTGGCCTCTCCAAGCCTGTTTCTTCCTATGTAAACTCAGGAAAACAAGTACCTCTTTGGATGTTATGAAATTTAAATAAGACCTGTGGGCTAAGACTCACCAAAGCAAATTAACATAGTAAATACCAAATAACTTTTAAGTTATTACTTACTGTGGCTGGTGTTGAAAAAGCTCAGAAATAGGCCAGTCCTTTTCTGAATAATGCTTTTTCTATAAAATATGGTCAAAGTCTGGGGCTATTTTTATCCCATCCAGGCCAATTTAGCTACAGGTGTGCAAAAGGTCCTTTATATTTAACATGAACTCACCTCTGAGGCCCAGTCCACATCCCAGAACTTGGTACAGGGTTAGTAGGAAGTTTTCAGATGGAAGGGACACTGCACATTCATTAAGTAATAAAAGTTTTATTTGATCCCCTAAAAAAGCTTACTTTAAAAACTATGTATTTTAAAGGTTAGAAGCAATGTTGATTAAAGAACCTGAAAAGATCTTCAAGATTTTTGGTATTGCACACATTGAAAGTACATATTTGGTTCTCCTTAAAGGGATAATACAAAGAAAAGTTAAAATGATGGCTAGTAACTGAGTTGTTTGCAGAATTATTGGATATGGCCAATACTACTAATCAACAATATCCACTCTCCTTCATTCCAGGCACTGGAGAGGAATCCCTTCCTCACAAGTGAAATTCGTAATGACCATGTGAATTCCTGCTGCTCAGCTTGCCAAAAGCTCCTCCCACCTTTGTCCCAGCCCCACCTCAGTGATCACAGCAGCATATGTTGAACTGGAGAAGCCATAAATTCAATGCACGCTAGAATGATGTGCAACACATGGAGGGCAGCTGCCCAGGGAAGACACTGCGGCCACTGCCTTTTGTGCAGCAAGAAATAAGTTGTATTAAACCAATGAGGACTGGTACTGTTTGATATCACAGCAAAACTTCACCCATCCTAACTGAGATACTGCCCAGAGGACATTATTTATTTAACTTACCCTGCACCAGGATATTAAAGAGAAACCATGACATCCAGTTTTATTTATGATCAAATGATGTGGCATTCTAGAAGGCAGTGAGACAGGTTTCCTAATATAAACACAGAATCGGTCTCATTACTTCAGCACCGACCCCATTTCTGTGAGTACACAGTGCGTGGGCTTCTAGTCCCATGAGCAGCCCAGAATGTTTTGGACCTTTCAGCTCCACCCTACCTACTCTTCATTAATTTCTCTTAAGGTTACCAAATACTGATTGAGGGTCCACCCTGTACAGAGAGAAACTTGACATACAAACTCCTCCCTGCTCATCACGTTGTTGGAGGAGCTGCCTAGCTCTCCCTCCTTGGGTCTTGGACTTGGGAAGGGATAGTTTGAGTTGCCCTTTCCACACTGCTGGCCTCTCTGGCTTTCATGTGGCCTGCATGGTTTTGATGTTTCAGCCTAAGACACAGCTTTCAGCTACTTTGCTCCCATCAAACACAGCAGTCATGTTCACAAGACAGTCCCAAAAAAGCCACAAGTGGCTGGCTCTTGAAAGCTACCATGGGGCAAAAATATGCGGACAATACTCAGTTTTGTCAATGAAGGCAGAGCTAAGCCATAGGGAGAAACAGATATGATACCAGTTAGACCTTCCTTCTTCTCTTACTATGTGAGGAGAAGGGATGTGTCTTTGCTGACGTCAGACTTGAAGGTAGTTATAGCCCAGCTTCTGCTTGTGGTCGCTTCTGACTCTGTTGTTCACGATTTATCCAGTCCGTCTGGATTAGATCCCTCCCTACACATATTCCTGCACTCCATCACCAGTCGGGACAATGTGCTTCACTGGCTCCAGGATACTTTCTAAATCTAGAAATAATAATAATAGCTATTGTTCTGGAGATCTTATTAAACTCTGGGCTATACTCTTGATGTATGTAATCTCATTATTTAATCTTCCCACAATGAACCATGGGGTAGGGCTGAGTGTCCTCATTTCTACAGGTAAAGAAACAAAGGTTTAACCAACTTGTCCAAAGTCATACAGCTGACAAGACTGGTATGTGAATGTGTTAACCCGACTCCTGCACCCAAACTCTTAACTCCCATGCTATCCTGCCCCCAAACCTAGTCTCTGGTAGCCTTTGGCATCACGCTGGCCTTAGGCAACTTGGCTGGGTTCACAGTAGTTGAGTTCCTGAAGTCTTTGCTCCTGCGTAACTGTCATTTGTTGCACATTCTGTAGTCTGCACTGGCACACACACCATCGAGTGTACAATACACCCACCTGAACATGGCCAGGAAGGCATTTGAGAGATTGTGCTTGGACCAGTCCTAACACTTCTTAATAGTTTCTTCTGAACTTCTTCCATTGCTGCAGCCACCGCATGAGCTCAGGTCCTCACCAGGTTTGGGCTGTTTTAGTATTTTTAAACATTCACGTCTTTTAGTCTTGCCACATTTTAATTCATGATGTACATTGTTGTTAAAAATAATCTTCCTGAAACACAGGTCTGTTCTCCACCATAATAGTCACATTAGGCATGTAAATGCTTTACAATTTGTTCAATGCTTTCATATTCAGCAAATTGCTGGATCTTCACTTTTTTTGTTGTTGTTATTGTTTGTTTTTATAGATGAAGAAATTGAGACCAACTCTGATGCAGACTTGCCTGAGATCAAACAGTGAGTGACTGTCAGAGCTGGAACTCAGTTGTAGGCTTTCTGACTTCAGATCCGTAATCTTAATAATCTTTAAATGACATTCTGCTGCCTCACTATGTCATCACTGGGAATGGGCACCGGGGATTTCCCGTCACATCATGTTCTGATTTGCAAGACCAATCTCCTCAGGCCTCAGAACCCACTTGCTTCACACCTTTGTAAGATCTGGCCTCCTGCCACTCATCCCCAAGGTTTCTGTACAGCTTCTATCGCACTAAACGAGCAAGTACATGCAGAGTGATGGGCACGCTGCTTTTATTGTTAGCTGTTGTTGTTATAGCCCATCTCCCACTCTACCCAAGGTCTCCCGCTCTGTCTCTGAAACTCCAGTCTGCAATCCATCAACTCCCTGACATTTTCAGGCCCTTCACTTTTTCTAAATGCCTCTTTGTGTTTTTGTTAACTAAAACTTGGCTTTCTTTTGAGGACACGGCTTTCCTTTCAGCTGTCAGAGTGGAAGCTGGTTTTTCTCATATCCCCCAGCCCACTCCAAAGTGTTTTCCTCTTATCCCTCAAAACCCACAGCTTTTCTGAAGCCTATTTCAGCACTCTCTACCTCCTAGTCATGCCCCCTCAGCCACTTATGACTCCAGCCACTTGTTCATGATCTCGCTGTCCCTGACATCATGCTTAGAAACGGCGTTAATGTGCTGATCCATTCAGCAACCTGGCCGCTGGGTCCCTGACCTTACTACCAACACTCATTCCTTCAGTGACCCGCTCTCTCGTTTGTACCCATCACACCCTTCCTGCCCTTCCTTCCATTGGTGCCCAACCTAGATTTCATGGTCTAGCTCCCTCACCAACTTTTGTAAAGACTCTTGATTCCCTTCCATTGATTTGCTTGGTAAAACCTCAATTCTGGTTAAACCTAATTGTCTACTGAGCACCAAGGACACTGCAAGAGAAATTCACACAATTGTGTTGACTGAGTCACTTCAAAATTACCACCACAGATGTCAAATTGGCACTTAACACTGCCAAATGATGCAACTATACTTCCCTAGTAAATTAACTTTCCCACACCCTGAGAAATCTATTTTCCTTCCTAAAATCTTGAACATCTCTCTTGAGTGGATGACTGAACTACATATGTCATAAAGAAAATATTCAAAGTCAAATCAGACCAATCTTTTTCTTCCACTTCAAGTCCCCAAACGCAGTTGCGTCTGAACCTACACAGTCTGCATTCCCATCTCCTGGAGTGGACAAAGCATCCATTCCTGTCTAGGACAACCCCTCCTATGTTGTCATGGATTACAACACCGCTTGTTTTATCAAGAATTTCAGCCTTACAATTATCTTCTCTTCTACATCATCAAGTTCTCCTTATATACATATTACTTGATCCCTCTCATTGGATGCAAACACGCTAAAATCCTATCTTAAGAAGACAAACAACACACAAAAAATAAAGCAAAACAACCTCTCCCTTGAGCTCTTACTCTCTTACGGCCACCATCCCATTCCTCTACTCCCCACCACAACAAGATTCCACTTTCTTGTCTCCTCACTGTCCTCTCTTCTGGCAATCCAGTGGGCTAGTGTCCCCATCACGGCACTGAAGTGGCTTTTATCAAGGTTATCACAGATCTCAATCTTGTCAGGACCAAGGACCAATTCTCTACCTTCATTTTATTTGACTTCTCAGCAAACAGCTGGCTCTTTCTTAAAACACTTCTCAATTTTTCCTTCCAGCTTTCTGGCTCTTCGCCTCCTCCAGGGATCTGCCCTCCTCCCTTCTCCTGTCTTTCTTTGTTCTTTTACTAGACAAGTTCACACTGTTCCATGGCTTCAACTATCCTTTTAGTCCTGATGACTCTCAAATGCCTGTCTCCAGCTGGAGTCTTTTCCCTGAACTCCAGGCTTATATATCCAAGTATCTACTAACGTTTCCATTCAGATGTCTAATAAATATCTTAAAACACCTGATGGAAACTTCCTCCCCAGATATTTTTCACAAAGTCTTTCCCATTTCACTGAC